AAGAACCTGCAGATAGCTGGAATTATATAGAAAAGGAAAGAACAGGCAACTGACGTAACTACATCATTCAATAAAATTCTGGTTCAGTAGCTGAAAATGAGACTCCATGGAAACTGTAAGGTGAAATATATTTGGAAATATCACAGTTTATGGTTTAATACAGGGCATCGATGTACTGAGACGCGATGTGTTTCTGTTCCCCCCGAGCATCACGGTCGACCTGGTGAGGTGTTCTATGGTGCGAAGACAGTTCAGTACCTCAGATGTCAAACCATGCAGGGATAATGAATGACTTTCTCCATGGCTGGGAGTTGCAAAATGTGCACGGGGCGGGGAGCGGGTGGGGGGACTGAGGAACCGCCTTTAGTCCTGGAAACAAAGTCAGCAAATTCAGTGTCTACCAAAGGAAACAGCGCCTGGGGGCAGGCAGATTAATCACCCTGCAAGTAGGGCATCCCCGACTGTTAGGGATGGGGGAGAAGGCGGAGCCACAGGTCACATGGTGCACAGCTAGTTTTATACTGGAAGTTTGGGAAAAAAGACACACATAATACTGTAGATGCAGTTTGACACGTATCCACTTATTTACCTTTTAACTTTTTAATGTTGAATGCTATGAAAATGGTTAACGCTATTGCCTAACACCTCTGTCCATTGAAGGTCTAAAAACAAGCTAAGGTTCCTGTAGGATATAGTTCTGACCCCACTGCAACCCTGCATAGGACAAGCAGTTATAGAAAATGAGTGGATGGATGGATGGATGGATGGATGGATGTGAAGAGAAAAATCTTAAAATAAATGACACCAGACATCCCAGGGTCTGCTGTCTCATGACCTATGGCTCCTGAGAGTGGCTGATCATGACCCTGCATTAGGGGTTATGAAAACGGCATAGCTAGACGGACGCCTGAATCATCAAAATCTCTCAAACTAGCGTAAATCATCATTGTAAATCCAAACCTGGAACCCTAGTAGGGCTTATTTTTTTGCCATAATGGAGTGAGTCCTCAGTTCAGGGACTCGCCGGGCAGCAAATAAACGCTGGCATCACATTGCAGACAAAGCACTGATGAGAATTCGAAGAAGCTGTAACTGTAGCACCCAGGGGACGGTGGTGGGAGCTGAACGTGGGGGAAAGACGGCCAGGAAAAGGCAGAATTTAATAACTCCCCAGGAAAGTTGTCCTTATTAATGAGCGGGTGAAGGGAGTGCCACCACCTGTTTTGTTTGAATAATGCTTTTGATGTTTCCATTTTTAATACCGGTAAGCTAATAAAGTCGTAATTTAGCTAATAATTCGCATTGCCTCATATTGCTCTTTGAGATTTCATATTTGCATGAAATGCATTTCAGTCTAACACAGACCGAAATTTTTGATGAGAAAGCATTCTGTTGATATGTCTATGTCATCTCTGTAAAACCTTCACAAACAGTCTGAAACGGAGTTCACTGCGCCAGCAGTGTCGATTCATTTATAAAAAACTAAGGCTAATAATAATAATAAATTTAATTTATAGTGCACTTTACATTTTACAAAGAAAATCTCAAAGTACATACAGACAATGAGAAAACATTACATTAAAAACAGCATTAAAAAGAGGAATAAAACATTTAAATATTTAAGCAATCATTAAAAACATTGGCTACAAAGAAACGTTTTCAGGCTTTTTTTTTAAACATGTCACAGTCTGTGGAGCCCTCAGATGTAGAGGTAGGGCATTCCACAGCCGTGGGGCAGCGCAGGAAAAGGCCCTATCTCCAGTGGTGCGGGAGTGAGTCCTGGGAGGGAGGGGAAGGTCTGCGTTGGTGGTGCGGAGAGTGTGTGGGTGACGGTGGGGAGTGAGGAGTTCTTTTAAGTATACAGGCGCATTAACATGCAGACATTGGAAGGTAAGCAGGGAGATTTTGTAGGTGATTCGGGCAGAAACGGGAAGCCAGTGAAGGGAATGGAGCACGGGGGTGATGTGCTCGTGTTTCCTCACTCTCATCAGGACCCTGGCAGCGCAGTTCTGAACATACTGAAGTTTTTGTATGTTTTTGCCAGGAATCCCGATGAGAAGCACGTTACAGTAATCCAGTCTGGAGGAGACAAAGGCATGCACAAGTTTTTCTAAATCAAAAAGGGAAAGTGTAGGCCGGAGTTTAGCAATATTTCTGAGATGGAAAAAGGAGATTTTGCAAATATGCTTGATATGGCTTTCAAAAGTAAGTTGAGGGTCAAAGATAACACAAAGGTTGGCGACTGTTTTAGAAAGAGAAATGTTCTGACCAGAGAAAGAGATTCTGAAGATTTTTTGTTGAATTTGGTGAGGAGTGCCAATTTGAATCACTTCAGTTTTTGAGCTGTTAAGATTAAGGAAATTTTGCTCCATCCATGCCTTTATCTTATCCAGACAGGCGGTGAGTGTGGGGGGAGGGGGGCGTAGATATCGAAGGGGCTGATGAAGTGAAAGGGGCCTCAGATGCATTGCTACCCAGCTTCAAGTAGAACTGGGTATCATCAGTGTAGTAGTGGAATGAGACCCCACATCTGCTGATGATGCGCCCAAGTGGAGCCATGTACAGATTAAAAAGAATGGGCCCCAATACTGATCCCTGAGGAACACCACAAGTGACAGGATGACTCAATGATTTAGCGTGTCCAATGGAGACGAACTCAGATCTGTCTGTGAGGTATGACTTGAACCAATCCAGGACAGTGCCAGTGAACCCTGCAAGGTATTGTAAACAGTGGAGGAGAACTTGTACTTTCTGAACCTGGACCTCCCACCTCTGGTTTTGAGCAATTCAACTCCCAGGATAAGGTAACAGACAACTTTTGATCTTTGGTGTGGTGTTGCTAATGTATTTTGAAGTATATATTTTGCCATAATTTATCTGCTTGTGTTCCTCATCCAGAGTTATTTTTCAAAGATGGCATATTCGTGTCTTACTATAATGCAGCAGTAGTCTTAATATAATTAATTTCATATATCTGAATTTCCGTCCATCTTGCCTCCTGATTGACTCGAGCATCTTGGGGGCGTTGTGTGACTCAGCAGGTTAGTCCGGCAATCGGAAGGTCGCTGGCTAAAGTCCTAATTATAGAATAATCACATTGCTGTTGGGTCCTCGAGCAAACATATGATCTTCCCCCTCCCAAAACGCGCCAGGAGCACTGGAGAAATGGCTGGCCTTGCACTAGGCCCAGTCTTTGCTCTCACCATTGTGTGTTTGCATGTTTCAAAGGAGAGCATGATTGGATACGCGAAAAGAAGCATTCCAATCCATGGCAAAATAAAGCATCATTTCATTTTAGCTTATCCTCAAAGGGGGGGCCAGAGCCTATTTCAGGCAGGACAGGACACAAGGCTGGGGAACACCCTAGACAGGATGTCAGCCCATCGCAGGGCACTTACAGAGAGGACACCTAACTGCATGTATTTGGACTGTGGGAGAATGACCAAACACAGCACAGATAGAACATGCAAACTCCACACACACAGCTGAGGGGGGTTCAAACCCCCTACCAAGTAAATGCAAAACAACAGTAACTTTAACTAATAACTGAAATAAACTGAAATTTCACCAACTGAAATAGCTATTTTACCTTTTATGTTTAACTATAGCATAGCATTCCAAACAATTCAGGAAATGTGTCTCCCATGTATCTGATGTCTTGCCTTGTCCTGGTCTCTATAAATCAGTTTTAAATCCAGTCACAGCACTGAAGAGGTCTATAGCTTGGCTGATTTAGTATTAAAATAACATCCAAGGCCTGTGCTGTGGAAACATGTCTCACAGGCTTAAAGAAGAACCAGTGACCCACAATCCGAGCCATACTGCACAAATACAAACAGCTGACACATTAGTGGCCGAAGCACCTCCAAGGACCACTGCCAAGGTCGTGACAAAGAACCGTCAACGAACATTCAGGAATCTGTAGGTTTCTCTCACCCTGGCGGTACACGGTATCAAAAATACTAATAAAAAACATCACTACAAATGCAGGTTATTCAGAGAGCAGAGAGTATATTTGTGAAGGTTCCCATGGTACCTTAAAGCAACCTCTATCTTTCTTCTGCTTCTCAATGAAGCCCATTTGGCTGCGCTGATTATTCAGAAAAATCCCACGCCAGCACGCTTCTCACACATGGCGTCGAGAGGAAACAAGTACCTGTGGTGTATTACCCACTAAACAACACGAGACAGACAAGTTTTATCAGGTTAATCCTTTACCGAACTCATGAACTGACGAAACATATCCCAGCATCCTTTGGTACACAGTCAGATAACTACAGCACAACCAAGGATCCTGAATAGCAAAACACAACATCTGATACATCACACTCCACAATCAGCAGCATTGTCCAAAAGATGAAACGTTGAGATCTTACAGGGTCTTGGCTTCTCCAATACCACACAAGATGTCCATACTTTGGCAATACATGCTTGACAAATACGACAACTATAAAAGAATAAAATGACGCATGACGACAGTGTACATTTATATATGGGGTGGCTTGGCATTTAATCAGATGCAATGAATAGCTGCGTTTCATGACAGATGGTCATTAAAAGGTCAGATTCAAGCATGGGGTCGCTTGAGCAAAGCACAATCCTAAAGCCTTCCCCTTTCAGTCAGGGCGCCCCTCATGAAGGCTCTTATCAAATCCTTTTGAAAACGGCAGGATACAAAGGCACGGCTTAGATCCGAGTAGCTCTGAATCTGCAGGAGGAGCCTGTTTTCGATTTAAGCGGTAAGTGATTAAATATCTTCTATCCATATAATCGCAGCGGCAATTTAATTACATAAACAGTGTTCACATCATTAAATATTTGTACATTTTGCATCTTTAAACCATGATAGATGATGATGACATAGATGTATTTTTTTCCCTTTTCCATCAAAAAACTGAACCTAGGAATTTATTAAAATTTTTCTCTTTGAATTGGCAAAGAGGTGAAGTAAAACTGCAGGGCTCATTCATACAGAAAGAAATGGCAAATGTTATCGTCCATTAAGAACTTATTGATTTATTTGTCCATTGAACAGAGTAATGCAAGATTCATTCTCAAGTTGACACCTTCAGAAGAAGCAAACTTAATATGTAATGGGTTTTAAAAGCGTGTAGGGGAAAGTGTCAGGATACAATTGATTTTTTCTTAGGATTTTTCTACACATGACAAGCTACAATGTTACCTGCCGCAGGGGTCTATCTAAGCTTTACATGGCAACATATTAAAGAATACAAGTTTGAAGGAGGACATCAGACAGCACTTTCTGTCTGGCAATAATGAAGTAGGATTAATCACAATAAAAAAAGCTAGTTACTTTTTATATTACCCTTACTGAAGTGGTTCAAAAACGACAAATGTGGAAGGCAGATGTTTATGACTGATCATGCATTTTCAAAATAATTAAACAGAAGTAAAGCTTTTCAATCCAGCGTGTAAATTTGCCAATGGTCTGGTCCATTCAGCATGGAAACAAGTTTTAATTTTAGGTTTAATTGCATGAAAGGTCTCAAAAGACCTTGTTGCAAGGTTTCAGCATAAACACAGAACCATCACCATGAAAAAAGGACTCGGACATTGCAGGCAATGTAAATCTTTTATAGAAATTTCTAAGAGGATTGATTCATTACAATGCCTTATAGAACACCAATGAACACTTCCAATTAACAATTTTATCAAAAGTACCACTTTTTTTGCCGAGTTCTCTGAAAACATCTAATTGCCCTAGGATTTATTTAAATACTTAAACAGATTTTAAAATAATATATCATAATCAAAAGCTTCGTCAATCTAATTAGCTATGCTAACTGGTCGAGCACTTGTTTGGAGATAAAGTAGTCCCAGCATCTCCAAAGAAAGGCTCGACCAATTAGCAAGGACCAAAACAGTACCAGCTACCAAATAGGTGCCAAGCCCAACTTCTGTGAGGCCGGAGGCCATGTTTCACACCCCGAAATAATTCTTCTGTACTGTACCTTTGTGTCTGGAGTCTTGTTTTCAGAAAGCTTACAGTACATAGCCATTCACACGACAGTCATTTGTATGCAATACCACAAAGACGATTCAATTCCTAAGCAACACCTTTCACAATGGATATTCTGCACAATGCTCCCTACCTATGAACGGCATAAATTAATGATAATGTTGGGATACAAGGAATGTAAAGACATTCTGGGTGCTAAAAGGCTGGTGAACAAGTATGATGGGTACTGGCTGGGTACTGCCAGATTACAGGCGGCTCTTTGAAAGGTAACAGTGTCAAATTCTATACAATGCAATGCTGTTTAGACAAGTCAATTACAAACAAAGTCTAACACGACGACTAACAGTGTGGAGAAAACTAAATCTATGGATCTACAGAATCAAAGGGTTTGTACTATTCAGCATTCTGCTCTTATCAGTTGACTACAGTATTGGGATGGAGAGTTACAAGCAAAATACATTTTTGAAGTTATGCATTTTGGATTTTTAAACAGGAAGTATTTCAGGTACAGTTGGACTCGCGACTTTTAGTATCTCGCAGAATCACATTACTCGATACTGACAGGAGGTACAAAGTACAGTAACTGGTTGAACCAGATCATTCTGTTCATTACTCAAGGATGAGCTAAAAGTGTTTTTATAAAGCCCACATCAAAGCAACAATTAACCGTTCTGTTAAATAATAATTTCACACATGAATACACAAATATAAGTATACATTTACGTATATTTGTTGACATTTTAGCATTCACCTATTTGACAGGAAGTATCCTTTAACACCAGAATAGCAATATCAAGATGTCTAAGGTCTAACATCGTTAACAAGCTGATAGGACTTCAGGAGATGACATGTTGGTCCATCCATCTTCCAACTGCTTATACTGTAGAGTATAGGCTAGTGGGGGGGTCGGGAGCCCCCAGCTGGGGTGCACGAGGCAGGCAGACACCCTGGACTCAACACCAGTACACAGCAGGCCATACTGATCCACGGGTTCCAAAAGTGCATCTAGCATGGGTTTTCATATTAGATCATGGAAATAGAACAACTATGACATAGGTCTGAACGCAATCATCATTCACCAGCAATATTTTACCTAAAACTTGGAGGGTGGGGGGCATTACTTCTCAATAAATAACCATGAGGCAGGTCCTTCAAGTCAGACTGCCCTACAGGAGACTTTGACCCTCCTAGACGGTGCAGAAATTCCCAGTCCACTTAAAATTTGCCATTATGCCACAAAATGAGAAGACTAAGAGTGTCCAAGTGATTTTTTCTCGTTTTTTTTTCTTCTTCAAGGAAAGACCTACCCTGGCAAGCAGGAAAAGCTCGTCAGACTACACTTAATGAGACTTCATGTACGGCTTACTTAAAGGTGACCTTATATTGAAACGACCTTATTAAACTGGGAGTGAAAGGGCAAAATGAGAAATGATAAAAGGCAGCGCTGTGCCAGATCACTTAACCGTATCACCGCAGCTTCAGCCAAGAACCATGACGGGTACATTTTCAAAAAGGTGGGGTGGGGCGGTCAGAAATTTTGACCATATTCAGGAGTCATCGTGCCACTTCTTAAAGAATCAACATGAGATTGCCCTAGATGGAAATGTAAAATTCTATGGAGAAATACTGTATACAATATAAATATATAATATAATGAAAGAAAGCAAAATTTACTGAACCACAAGATGTTGCCATTTATTCAATTATGTATAGAAAAGAAAAGGTTTAAATATTCCAAGAATTCTCAAACACTTATTGCCAAATAATAAAAATTAAGGTTTAGGGGGAAAATGATCAAACATGCATGAGGCATTATATACGAAACCATATTGCCGTTTGTAGTTTGTGTGACGCTTACCCTGTTACACTGCAGGCTGTGCCTCTCTCACCGCATGATCTCATTTGAAAGTCACATCCGAGCACTTTAAGGAGAGGGTGACTAATGAGAAGGCCTGGAACACACACCAGCGAGAGCCAAGACCCGCCATCCAGTGTGACATCACTTGTAAACGATAACAACCACCCCCAAGTGGAAAGCGACATCAATAAATCCTCAGGCCTCGAGGAATAACATAAGGTGAAACGCTTAGTGAGTGTAGGAAATCTGTCCAGACATATTGGATCTCTCTACATACTTATCTTCCTAATAAAAGTTCAGCAGTTGAATACAGCTAACGCGCAAGATGTAAAACACGAAAGATTACATACATACAAGACTAGAGAACATGTATCTCCCCATTAAAATCAAAGGCTTTTATAGTAACACACAGAATGTGCAATACCAGCATTACGTTGACACAAACTCACTAGAATATTAAGACAAAAAAAATCATAGGTGGAGGCCAACATGTTCTACTTGCACGATTTATTTTACTTCTTTGAGAAGTTGACTGGTATTCAACTGATTTTTTTTTTTTGTCCATTAAATGAGGGAAGGCATATGGTGTCGTTTGAGTGTTGAAGAATCATACAAAAATAAATCTAAAAAACAAAAAGGCAGGAGTCCTGAATACCAAGATCGTGCAGTACAGGGAGAGCACAGGTGACCGGACGTGCGACGTCAACAATCCGGAGGGCCGTCGGGTCCGCCGGCAGAGCTGTCACCAGGGGGCGACGTGGGGGAGGAGCGCAGACGCTTGTAGATGAAAGCGTAGAGGCTGACGTCGGGCCTTGGGGTGCGGCAGCCTTCGCATACGGTGCTGTAGTATTGCTTTACGAGCCGACACACCGTCCCTGCAGAGGAGGGCGAGCGTGATGTCACGGGGGGGGCGTCGCACGCACACAAACCCACCAATCACAAACCGCAGCAGGGCTATTTCCGGACAGCTCTGCAAAGCTTGGAGTAACTCCTGGAAAGCCTTTCAATAAATGTCAGCTACCTATGTCAGAAAAAAAAAAATTGGACAGAGGGTCCATAGACGACAGACAAATGAGCTTATTGATAGATTTTTTTTTTTTTTTTAAATAAAGACTGATTGCTTGCCTATTCGGAAACGGTGATCTTTTCAAATGAAATATTTTTAAAGGACATTTACCTAGACGTCAAAAATCATTAACATTTTCCTAAATTATACTGTCATGATGTTAACATGATGTGCCTCTTGCAGCATTACCTACTGTGCAACAAACATAAGCCAGTTCAGGAATTAACGAGAGACTAACATACCTCAAACCAGAAATTAAACAATGCATCACGGACCTAACTGGATGATAAGCTACCAATTAGCCTCATTAGTGAAACGGCCGTCCGAGCAGCAGCTGAGTGCAGGAAACAGGGCTTCTCAGGCCTTCTTTTAGGAGTTACCTACTGTACATCACATATCAGGCTCCATTCAACTCACACATTTAACTGCTAAATTGACTCACGTAGCTTAAGCGGAAGCCATGTGTTTAAAACCAACAATATAAAACTGGGAGACGCGGATAACTAAGAAGCACATGAGTGCAAGCGAGAAACACAGCAGCCCAACACAACAGGCAGTTAATTCATAGCCATTAATAATGACTGCTTAGTGAATACACTGGCATTCATGTGAATGACACTATAAAACGGTTAGCTAACCGTGCTGATTTGTAGTTATGCTTGTGTCATTTACCATCATTATGCTGATCTGCTTAATGTACTTTAGAAATGACCAGGGCGCATGAAGGGTCCCTGTATGTGGCTTTTTTTCTTTTATTGTCATGGTTACATAAAATCTATTTGCTGATGCTACAGCAAATAATAAAAAAAAAAAAAAAAAAAAAAAAAACGTAAACAAAATTCGAACAAGTGCAAACAAAATAAAATACAATATGTGAAATACAGATAAAAATATAAAACAAAATAAGCAGCGCTGAAAAATAAATCGAAAACCGAGGGGACAAGCCTTACCGATGGTGACGTTCTTCTGCGTGAGGAAGGAGTGCATCTTGTGGACGTCTCTCATGAGGTCGACGTCCCCGAAGGTGAAATAGGCCACGTCACGGCCCACTTCCGAGGCCACCAGGATCTGCAGGAGAGCTGAGGAGACGAGCGGTCGCCAGTGAGATCAAAGCCATGCAGGGCGCTTAGCAGTGACGTGATTAAGGAATCAAACCTACAACCCAAAGGCATCGAAGAACCAGCACTGCTCCTTCAGCTCTTAACCGAATATTTAACACACTTCTGTTACAACAAAGCTGAGAAAGTGAATTAATGTGGGTGCCCTATTAGATATAGGCAACAGAAAAACAAACCAATATAAGTATGTCATTTATCGGAGAATCAGTGACCCGTTGACTACCAGGAGAACATTTATTACAAATGGCAGAATGAAAATGGAAATTCGCGTGTAACGAAATGTATTCATACATATTTTAAAGCACCCTAATGCATAATACTGAATGACATTACAATTAAAGTTTTAATTACAATGGGTGTTATTTTCTGTGGCATTTCTAGGATGCAGTACATTCAGCAAAAGGGGAAAACAAACTGGAAGGCATAAGCAGTATGCATTCTGGGATATTAATTTCTATTTTTTGCTGAAAAAAAAAAATCGCTAAAAAAAAAACAACAGATGGTAACATGCTTGGTTTTTATTGTTTACCGAAACACCACACGAGTTCACTTTCATTTACACGAGGTATTTAGAGCCACGGCCACACAGAGAGAAAAGGCTGGACTCTACACGATACATTACACTGAATCCCGATTAGACTCTCCAAACTTACAGGATGAACTGGAAAAAGCGAAACATGTTGTGGAAAAAACACCTTGTTTGGCATGTGAAATACTACACCCTTATTGACTAAATGATTAATCGGGACATTACCTTTGTGAGATTTCCCGATGCTTACTGTTCACGTTTGACCGGAGAGTCCGCCTTTAAAAAGGTAAATAACACGAGCGCGGGTTTCCACTACAACCTCAATCTTAGTCACTGCCGAGAGCGAAGGCACAGCCCCTGAGAGTTTTAATATTTAACGAGACTGGAAATAGGCCTGCTGATTAATGATGAGGAGACAGACTCAAGCAAACAGAAAGAACCCGAATAAACAAATAAATAAATGTTGCACCATCATATATGTGGCAGAGTTGGGATGTTTTTTTTTTCCTTCTTCATTTGACATCCCTCATGCCTGAATCATGTGAAAAGATCCTGACAGAGCACAACAACAATGGGATGAACAGCCATGGCTCAGGGGTGCCCCAGCAATGCCAGGCGAAAGTGGTTATTACTCCTGCCATTCGGCCCGAGATGACCCAGGCCAATGGCTAAAAAACTCTCCGAAAAAAGACAAAATGAGGGGGAAAAAAAAAATCTCATTCACCGCTGAAGCGAGGGGTGAAGCGAGTCGCTTCTTGAGATTATCTAAGCCAGTGCCAATCGAAGGCCATGCTGGCCACTGTCAGTGGATGGATGGACTGGACCAGGCAATCAATTTCACTTTTAATGGAAAATATAAAAGTTTGTCATCTGATCAATAACAGCAGGCCAGACAAATAGGCTTTAAGTAAATGAGAGAATCAGAGGTGAGACTAATGAAACTCCATTACTGCTATATTGCAGCTTTAATTTTAAACTATAACAATAAAAATTCAGTCATAGAATGTAAACATTTGTAAGTTCAGTGTGAATGGTGATCAAGGATGGCAGCAATGAAAACTAAAAGAGCACCAGACCTCAGCGTTTCACACGCTGGGAAGCAGGGCAGTGAATCATAGTCACACAGTACTGAGGGAGATGTTGGCAAATCTTATAATCTAACTGGCACAAGGCAGCTCTGCTGGTAGTGTACAGACCTTTTGCAGCCCACATGACAGGCAGAAATACATACATAAACAATAATTTAATAAATAATATATTATTATTATGGTGCTTTTCACAGTAATCACCCCTCATGCCCTTTAACCCAGAATCTCCCCAATTTTCACAGTGATCAAACCCACTCACCACCATACACTTTAACCATGAGTTTCCCAGATTTTCACAATGATCAAACCCACTCATCCCCATAAACTGTAACTGAGTTTCTCAAATTTTCACAGTGATCAAACCCACTCATCCCCATAAACTGTAACTGAGTTTCTCCAATTTTCACAGTGATCAAACCCGGTCACCCCCATAAACTTTAATCCTGAATTTCCCCAATTTTCACGGTGATCAAACCCTCCGTACCTTCACCCCACGTTCTCCACACACTTCATGGTAATCCCCATACCTTTTAACCTGGAGTCTCCCCCGAAAGCTCCACAGCCCCAGTTTCCCGTGGCCACGGCAGGGAGATTCTCGCTCTTCACGCCGGGACGCACAAAGCCGCAGTAGGCCTGGGGAAAAAGAGATGGTTACACGGTGTGGATAACTGATGGCGGACAGAGGGACAGCAGCTTCACCAGAAGCAACTTTGGTCCTCGGGATGGTGGTCTTTGTGTTACAGCAAAACAAACTAACCCCCTGTCCCAGCAGAAACAACCAGCCAGATATGGTGTAAATATTCTATAAAGCTATGCCATGCAACTAAGTAATAATAAAAACTAATTTCCTGCAGTCAAAATGTCAAGTGCATGCTGGGAATTGAAGATACCAATTTAAAAATCACCACCGCAGGCGGAGATGTATTCAGGTAACTAAAGGGAACGTCCAATTTAGTGAGGAAACACCAGATGCAGCCTCATTTGTGTCAAGACTAGAAACGCCACAGTTACATACAATTCAAATGAGTTTTCCCCCTGCGATTCTCCACCAAATCCACCGCACTCAGTAAAAAATATATCATATATCATACAGGCATCTCTAGATGCACTAGACTGATAAATATGAGATTCCCTATAACTAAATAAAAACATAAGGCAAAAAAGTCAGTTGTTATAACTATAAATACTTTATATGGGTCGGCTTACATATTCTTGTTAAAGCACTTAGGAAGATGAATTACAGGAGGACAGGAAATTAATTTTTAGCTGAGGAATTAGGTACATGAGCAAAAGATGAATGGTAAGTATCCGTCATGCCGCTTGACGTTGTAAATTCATATTGCGAAAGGGCAGCTCTGACAGTAAACCTAACAGCCCCCTCGCCAAGGATTGATCCCCACGCTGTAGCATTTCTCAGGGTCCGTCAATCTCCAGGGTAGCTGTCTGCGTTTTTCAAGACTCCTGATGCGACACCCTGACAGTGGCGATGTCTTGATTTCCGAATGTGAATTTTCATCAAAAATGGTCAAATACGCAAACCCCCCTCCCCCCAAAACGCTACAGATGTGAATGAAATACGCAAGATACGCGATCTGTGTGCTGAAGCAGGTCCGGACGCTAAATTAATTATAAACGAGCACCGCGGCACCTCCTGAACACACCGAGCGGGTGTGGCGGGACGAGGCGTCCGCACGTTTTTATGAATGGTTCATCAAATCCGAATGTGTGATGAACGCGACACTCTGACACATACAAGGAGGTCTCACTTTAATTCATCAAGCCCTTCCAGCCTTCAGAGATTCATGCAGCCATAGAGGTTTCCAGCTAACGGAGGATCAATGTCTAATAAGGACCCCCCCACCCCTTGTACTCTGTTAAACACCAAGAGAGGTGCATCCACAAACAGGCGGGGGAGGGGCGGGACACAGTTACATAAAGTGATGTTAAAAAGTACTAATCGTAAAACGTGTTTACCTATTTACTTATTGCCAAGTGGTTAAATCATGAATAAAGCTAATAAAATTAATGCAACTATTTTTGCAAAGTGAGATTTCATGTCGACAAAAAAGATTAAATGAGATGTAATTATTACATTAAAAAAGAGAAAATACGTTTGCAGGACTTTATGGGGAGTTGAGGGCTGTGGATCGTGGCATGCGGCTGGGGGATCCGTGCGGCTCTGTCAAGTTGCAGCAGAGCAGGGCAGTCGAGCCCCGTACACATTATACTGAGCTGCCGTTTGCTTTACCTTGGCAGTCGAGCCCCGTACACATTATACTGAGCTGCCGTTTGCTTTACCTTGGCCGGACCCAGACAAAAACAGTGCAACAGCTATGACCCACCCCAACTCCCATGAATTCTCTCTCTGGATGTTAAAACTTTCTGCCAAAACAAACTTTCTTACATGTTCAAGCTGCATGAACACACTGCATAAATTTGGACAGGTAGAAATAGGCATTTAAGGAATATCCAGTAAAGTCAAAGTACTTTTTCTAATATATTTCAGAGGCTGTACACATTCCATCACCTGGAAGGGCTATCTAGACCAGTAACGATAAATAATAAATGAAAATAAACAGTAGCAATGCAAAGAATGTCAGGCTATCTAGACCGTGTGGAGATCGGTTACAACAATATTGTGTGAAAACGTGGCTTTCTACAGGAAACCCAAGGATATGTCCGAGATGACACATACCACAAGGGCTCCCCCTTCAAACAGTGACGTAGCATGTAACGGGCAGGTAGCGTGGCCCGGCCCAAACCCCGGACGCCGGCTCACCTTCTTCAGCTCCCTGGTTATCTTCTCCGGCTGAAACTGGTCATAGAAGCTCCTGAACCTCAGTGCGTCTATGGCCACGATCTCGGTGCAGCGGCGCTGCCACTCGTCCCTGCGCGGGAGCAGCGGGGGGGGGGGGGGGGTGGAACTCAATTGCCTTTCATTTACAAAGCGGCACGCTTATTTAATCTGGGAGCAAGAGGAGCCTCAGGAGACCGAGCGGCAAATTATGCTCTTCGAAAAGGTTTGTTAGGGAGAACAGACAACAACTACTCTTAGGACAGGGAGGGGGATGCTGGTGGAGACACTGAGAATGAATAATTGGAGGCAAAACGCAGATTTTCCGCCTGGATGCTGTGAGGATCTGAGGCCTTCGAACGGGCCGCTATTTATCGCTGTTCCGGCAAATCGCATTACGCCTCGTAACTTCCATGGCGGTCTTTAGCTACGAGGGGGGACAACTTTTTCCAGTCCTTGTTTCAATGAAAGGGACACCACTAGAAGACATAGCTTCAGAATATTTTATGATATATAATATTGTGAGATTGCCAGTCTTGCCCTGCACAGTGAGGTACTCAGTCAGGGACACCAGGCATTTTCCTGAAGGGCTGACTGGTTTCATTGGCGATTTCTTTAATCCCAGTCCAGTGATCATGTATTATTTATAAAGCAGTAACTAGGGGAAACTTGCATAGGAAGGACATGCAGGGAGTGAGGCGTGAGTGCAGGGGGGGTGGGGGGGGGGGGGGTTCACCTACCTTGGCGTTTCATCCCTGTGGCTCCCGGCCCATTTGTAGCTCTCCGCGTAGCCGGTGTATTTACTGTACTGCTCCGTGCCTGTGAGGGAGGGGGCCAGGGAAGCGTGACTGGCAAGAATCACAACATCTACGTCTGCTTTGACATGCAGCCCCCACCCTTCCCCTACATTCACCAAGGACACGGGTTAGGCAAACGCCAGAGCCCCTTTTCAACACGACCTGTGGACCAGTACAGTCGGGCGCTTGCGGTGGGGGTGGGGCATTTTAAAACAAACATATCGTGAAGCACGAATCAGACACATGTTCTGACCCGGGTTTCCCATGCCGTCCAGGGGGCTGGCATCCTTTGGAAAAACAGAGGTAATGACAGGCAGTGCCAATGAAAGCAACGGGCAGGGGGAATCCTATCAGCTCGCCAGCTAGCTGTGATGTTTAATAGCCGTTCTCTTTGTAGTCATTCAGTGTGAAGTCAGGCTACAACAGCAGCTGTCATCTTACTGTGGAAAAAACCAGCCATTACCCTCCACCCATCCACCCACCCACCCGAGCATCACCACCGCCCCCATCAGAAAGCACGAGGAACCTGCTGTGGGCTCCAAGAAGGACCCGAGTCAACAGAAGGGAAGACGCTCGGATAAACGGCTGCAAATTATTTTCTCATTCTTCAGAGCTCGTCAGCATCTGTAGTGGCCTTCGGAGCTTCGAGAGCAAACACTCACTGTCCGCGTGGCGACATAACCGACAACAACGTCAGTGACCTTCAGGTTCGAACAGTCATTTCCACAATTACTTTGGATATGGCCGCAGACAAAACTACAGACAATAATCGTGGGCGAACAAACCTCGATTAAACTTGACAAAGGAAACCGACATGCAACACAAATAACGGCAACTGGGACATAGGGCGGCTGAAACATCTCATCGAACGCTTACTCTGGATCATTCGATTCAAATTAGGCAACCCATATTTTTAAATGGTCATAAATGAACCATCAAACCCATTCCAGCAGGCTTCCCTGCTATGATAAGCTATCCAAAGATCAGCAGAGCTCGTCATCAAGTACATCCCTATAACTAGAGAAGTCTTAAAAATAAAAGCATAAAATAAAATCTATTTGCGGCTTCCTCAATTTGAGCCCTTGTGATGCATAAACCGATTATGAAAGGAACGTGAACAGGCAAATCAAGCCTGATATATACAAGCCTCTGGTTTATTGACAGGTCGAGATAACAGTCTCATGCCTTTGAGGACGAGGGGACTTATGTGGGTAAACAGTATGAAATTATTCCTTGGTGAGGCTGAATTATGTCTCTGAGACAATGACAACAGTGAGAAAGGGAACAGTGGATAAATGGCAGGCCTCTCTGGGGGCCGCTTTTGAAGAGTGCCTCATAAAAGCCTCCTCAGCAAAGAATGAAATCTGTGGGGAGGTGGGGGGGGGGGTAGGGAATCAAAGAAGAGACACATTTCTCTTAAGATGGATGACTCGCCCGGGCTGAACCGTCAGAGGATCCAAATAATGGGATTTCCCCACAACTGGACCACAGTCATGCGGCAGCCCAGTGAAACCATTTCGACGGCATATGATGGTCACCGCGAACCAATCTTTCAGTGTCAGTACAGCTGATAGAAGGTTTCAAGAATATTTAAGGCATTTGTTGAGCAACAACTGTTGAAATGAGGAAAAAAAAAAAAAAGATACAGAAGAGGACCACAGACCAGAGAACTTGATCATCTCCTTTCCTCATAAAGAGTGACAGCTCATTTGTTGGTCGATTCAAACTGAGTATTATTCGTCACTAATGTCAAGCATAGTGACATTACTGCTATATTTTGTTATGTCTGGGGGGGAAAAAAATGGGAAAAATCCCATCCGGGATGTACCCTTTCCTGGACTCTCCGAGATTATTATTAGATAACATGCTATTAAAAAGGGATCCATATGCCAGGGAGAAAAAAAAGCATCCTGATCTTTTCTTGCAAGTACACAGTAAGCATAACCTTCAAAATGCCCTAAGTGAGGATTCTTCAAAATCCAAACTAAGCAAAGTGTGTGACCTCAACCACCGACGACTCTTGGCATTTGCGTCGACTTGCTGGGTCAGGATCGCCATTGGTGAATCATCTGCCATCCCCTTGATCCAATTTATATTTATGACCGTCCCGATGGCAGCCAGACACTGAGCAATCAAGAGAAATTCAATTAAGCCCAGCCACTTTTGCAGATTTCACCGGGGCAGTAAGCTCCATTAGGGACCATGTCGAGATGCATCACGGGGGAATGTAATTTATGGCACGGCAATGATACAACGGAGATTTGGCTAAAAATGGAGACAAAAAAAAAAAAAAAAGACTTGTTTTAATAAAGATGATGGAATGGCTCTCTCCATTAGTGGAGCAGGTCTTGGGAAGGTCTTCCAATAGTTATTTGTGACTGTAATGAACTTAAAAGGAACATAGGGATGCTAGTGGAAAAAAAAAAAGTTGAAGGTGACTGAAAAGAGAGGGAGGAACCTTGATACAAGGGCTAGAATACTGATCAGATGGACATTCTCCACCTTCGATGTGCCCTTGCAAGCCACCTATGACCTAGATTCCATTGTTGCATGATGTAACGTGGCCAGGCTGGCATAACTCGTAGGCCCTGAAGACCCAACACACAAGATCACCCCCAACACAGTGAGATCAACACTGAGAAGTCAGCTGTAGCAAAATTGGTTTAATAGCATTTTCACCACAGCTACATCCAGAAGGCCAATGTTCTTCTTACACACAAAAAAAAAACAAAAACTGCACATATATAAAACCTTTAATAAAGACTTAATTTAGATTATTTGGGAGGGAAAAAAAATTAACGACAGGAAGATGAATCAACCAGACCTGAATACAAATTGGGGCGTGTGATTATTACTGTATGACTGAAGGAGACTCAAGGGGACCATTTAGGCGGAGCCACACGCACGACATAACTTCCCCTACAGCCGTCTGCCGGGCTGCACCCGCTGGTGCGTACCCGCGTGGGTGGAGCGCACGGCGGGCAGGGCTGATGGAGAAGAGCTTTAGCCACAGGTATCAGTGTGGGTGGCTGCATCCCGGCGAGACCCACCCCTCTTCTTTCAGCTGCCCATCTCACTCTCCATCAAGCGAGAACCCAGCACCACCGGTGCACTGAGGGTTCTCTCACTGTGGGTACGTTTAAATTCCTCCCCGGAAACACCACCTCCAATGAACATGACAAGTCAACAAGTATAGAAGAGGGGTGGAAAAAATGAGTGTACCTTCCAGCCCCCGAGAAAGAGGAGCGCCTGCGGTAAGCGTAGGGGCACCACTTTACCTGCTAGATGGGACCTGTCCTGGCTTTAGCTGACGCTGTCTGGTAGGATGACGGGAAATATGCTCTTCACGCCTACAGCGAAATCTCATTTTCATCAGGGGAGACACGACAGCACTGAGACTCTCACTCAAGTCCAGGGTTGCGGCTTGGACTCCTGCCCCGGTCTATTTGTGAAGCTAGAACATTTCATACTGCGTTCATGTAGGTTTCATCCAGGTCCTCTTTCATCCTCACTAAGCCTAAGAAACAGGGTGTAATAGACCCTTTATCCTCGGAGTCTGAATGTGTGTGTCTTGTGTTGAACTAGCATCCCTAACCTGAAATGGTTAAGTATTATCTTCACTGACAGATTTGGCTGTTTCTAATGGGTATGTCTGTACTAATAATTAACTGTTAAGATAATTAAACAGTATCCAGGGGTTGCATATACCAATTAGACGTATTGTGCACAACATTCATGGAAACACTATTTTCTGGGTAATTACTAGTTGTGTCAAGTGTTACCCATTTTTCCACAGTCTGGCTATAAAAAGGCAGGAGGTGCAACAAAAAATACTGCAGTAGCAGTGTCAGATCTGAGGTCAGGCCTTTAAGGATAACAGGAGACACCGACATCTCGTTCATCAGGAAACTGACCGACAAAGAAAACTTCGGTAACAAGGAGGACATTCCGATTGAGCAGCATTTTCTTTTCCGCATGGCTGCATCCTACTTACGATTGAGTTTTTATTAGTCTAAGTCGGTGCCTTGGGCCAAAAGGCATTAAGAGGATCTTTGAGCACGACACAGCAATTCACTCGAGTTATTAAATGCAGCGAGACGTAATCACATCAATGGCTCTCAAATCTAACGGCGAGGGGAAGGCTCCCCTTTCCTCTTAGCGAACTGCGGCTACGAAGGGAATCAATCAGAGGCGTGATCCTTTAAAAGGCAGAGTCGGGGGGGGGGGGTATGAAGAATGAAGGCGGACTTCGGGGGGGGCCAAACCCTGCCGCCGTCACCGTGTCTCGCCAGCTAAAGAACCAGCACACGCCTCTCCTCTCTCCGCAGATTAAAATGCGCCGCTCACGGGAATGCGGGCCTCGCATGCCATGCACGCACGTTACGATTCCACAACAAAACCTTTGGGGAAGGAAGAGGTGGGGAGAAGTCACTGGGGGATAAAAGCTGAGAAGCGGAGGAATAACAGATGTGCGCGGGACGCCGCGGACGCGAGACGAGCGCTGACACACTTCCTCAGTCAGAGTGGGGAATCCATAGGGAGGCCGACTGTCGGAGGATGAGCGGGGGGATGGCGACATCACTTAAAGGGACAGCGACGTAAACGAGCGCTGAGAGGTGCTCAGTGACGAATGACACTCGTCCTGTCGGGAACAAATAAGGGATAACGGGGCCTCTCGGCAGCAATCGATGCAGCGAAGACGAGCTTTGATTGGAGAGGGAGAGGGATGACAGTATACAGAGAAAAACGAGAGTCCAGCCGGCCCACTTACCGGTACATGGCAGCATGTCAGATTTTACGCAAGCAGAATTTACCTTCCCATACCGTTCAAAACTTATAGCAAAAGACAAGTAGGCCAAAAATATACTGCAACATACTAAAGAACACAAACAAACTAAAAGATGCAATGCTAATTTGCATTAGCAATTCCGTAAACTATCCGTAAATCTCACATATTTTTTTGCATACGCCTGGATTTTCCTTAAGAGCTGCCTGTATGCGTCCATTTAAAGGGGCGTCCTTCTTTCAGTGTGTTTACTCTGATGACATATTATATAGATACATGAAGAAATCACCCACAACCATCCTAGGCACCTTAAGTCAACTATAAGGCCATCAACCTGTTATAATAAATTGTATAACCAAAAATTTCACAAATATTAGGTCTCTAAAAATAGATAAAAATGATCAGTTCCAGGGTGCCCAAAAAAGGACCACCATGACTGGGGCTTCTGTCTGGAGATGCTGCAGACGTACGCGGACCGCCAGGTCCAGTTGCCTGCTGAGCACCGCATACTGGGCTGATTGCTCTGATGGCCCAAAAGGATGCTGGGATTTAATTAGTTTATGCTGAAAAATCAGAAGGGAAGTGGCTTCTGAGTGTGTCCCAGCATGGGTCCGGATGTGCAGGACCCTCAGGTTTTAGAAGCCAAAGGCTACCTCAATCAGAGAAGAAGTTAAGACGTTTACTTGACCTTTGTCCAAGGAACCTGACCTCAGCCACCCTAACCGTCACTCATATCCAGAACAGACTTTCTTGATCGTGTTAGTGTGAAGTACGGTTCATATAGGGGGATTTTTAATGTTGTTTTTTGTGGGAATGTAATATTAACCGTAACAGAATAGTTACATTGGTTAATACAGGTTGAGCTAACAAAATGCTGGAATGATTTATGATCCAATTGTTTTCGAGGCTGAGTTTATAGTCGAAAAATTACTCTGCTGAACAAAGAAGTAATGATCAACTACAGCAATCAAAAAACCTAATCCAAAGGGGGAGAATGAAAGAGAGGAGCCCTTTTTCATTAATGGCAAGTATGTAACCAAAAAAACAGCAAGTAGGCAGAAGAGGACTTTCTCCACGCTGATTATGGGATGGTTCCCTGGGCTCTGTGACGAGCAGCTCTGATGGAGCAGGGCCGAGGAGGGAGGCATTTAACGCCCCGCTGCGAGTACTTAAGGGATGGAGCTGCCTGTCGTTCCATAACTGCATTCAAAGAAAGTTTGTTTATTTATTTCGCATTTTTTTGATGTGCAAAATCATCCAATAATTAGCTAACAGGGACCTCAGAGCTGGGGGGGGGGGGTCAACGGCGTGTTAGTGGGAGAACAACAGAGAGAAGGACGAGAGAATAAAATGCCTCTGAAGTACGGACAAGCAGCAGCCACGCCGTCTCTGGGATTATCGCAATGGCGAAACGGGGAGTCGGCGGCTCGCTGACCTGTGATGATGAGACACTCGTTGTTGTCCAGGGCTTCGGTGAAGAGGCGCGACACGATGAGCTCGGGGTTGATCATGAACCGGATCTCCTCCTGGACCAGCCCATTGCCCGTCACCCCGCCTCCCACCATCCGGTTGGCAAAGTCCACCTGTGGCCCAAACACAGATTCGGCAGCACAGGAGGGGCCGTTCCTCACATGGGGGCGAGCGTCTACACTTGTATATCCTGCACCCAGCTTTTACTTTACTTTAAGAGTTCAGATTACCATTTCACAATTCTTCACCGTTGAGATTCACACAAAAATCCTTTAACTGCTACATTTCTGTAGATTATATCATGATGGGAGTCTCATTCCTCCATCTATCCATCCATCCAGGAGAGAGCAACATGGAGCCTGAAGCCTTCCCCAAGAGCACAGGGCAAAAGGCCGAGGTTCACTCCATCACGGAGCAACATCTATACACAAAACCACACTCTGGGTAATTTACAGACACCATTTAGACTGACTGCATGATGCTGGACTGCAGCAGGAAACCAGAACAACATGGGAAGCACATGCAGACTCCGCACTCAGAGCAGCAGGCGGGATTTGAACCCGCAGCCCTGGATGTGCGAGGCCATGTGCTACCCACGACTTTAAAATGAAGCAGTACGTCACTGTAAGACATCCTGCGGCAATTTTCATTTTTACACAGCAAGTATGATATCTTTGGGCTTGGTTGTATATAAAATGATTATCTTTATATTATTTCGAGCAAGAGGCAGAGAAAGAAGAGCTAGAGGGTAGCCTGTAGGGTAATCTGCCTTGACGGCATTAAATAACTGATGATCTATTGTCCCACACATAAAAATGGACACCAAGGCGTCCTATCCCTGTCAGGAGAAATGCTTATAGGCCTGGGGAGGAAGCCTTACTGCAAAATATTTTTTTTTTTTACATTATGTAAATGTAAAACATATGGCAGCACTGTGGGGCAGTGGTTAGCACTGTTGCCTCACTCGTCTGGGACTTGGGTTCGAGTCTCTGCCTGGGTTACATGTGTGTGGAGTTTGCATGTTCTCCCCGTGTCATCGTGGGGTTTTCTCCAGGTACTCCGGTTCCCCCCCCCCCCCCCCCACAGTCCAAAAAAATGCCGAGGTTAATTGGAGTTACCAAATGTACACCAAATGTGTGAATGGTGTGTGTGTGTGCCCTGCAATGGGTTGGCACCCCATTCTAGGTTGTTCCCTGCCTTGTGCCCGTATCCTCTGGGATAGGCTCTGCTCCCTTCCTCGACCTTGAGTAGGATAATAGGTACAGAAAAATGGATGGATGGTCTTAAAACACTACAGCCGTCATCACTGGCCACTTCATAAATGCCAAGGAAACAACGAGAAAAATTGTAAACCCAGAATTGGTCACAGAATAGGGCACAGAATAAGCCAGAACAAGCCTTCTTCCACCAGCCCAAGTCCCAAAATATTAATGCCAAGAGGAAGGTGGCAAGGAGCCTGCAGGAGCTGGAGAACGACAACGCCACCTGACTGAGATGCGGGAAGTTTCTGACAGAGGGGAGGGCCACAGTAACCATGTTTTTCTGGGGGTTCCTGGGGGCTACCTAAATATTTCCAAATAACTGAGAGAAACATTCGGGGGGGGGGGGGTCATAACAATCGTGTGAGACCCATTGTGGGTGGTGTGAGGCTCAGCAGGTTAGGATGCTGTGCCTGTGATTGGAAGGTCACCGGTTCAAATATCGAAGTCTGCAAAGTGATTCCACTGTTCACCCCCTTGAGCGAGGCCCTTAACCCCAATTGTCACAGGGACTCTCTGACCTGGCTTTCAATTGTACATTGCTTTGGATAAAGGCATCCGCTAAATCAAGTAAATCGAACATGCATTAATCCGAAAAGCCTTATTAGCTGAATGAATCGACAGACCCAATAATGGCGAACCACAAGAGGGTGCGTGATGCTACAAACGGAGTCAGTGTTTCCAGTGGTGCTCGAACCAGAAACACACCGCGTTGGCCGGGTTACCCGCCTTTACACTGTATGTCCAGTTCTGTTGAGACCATTTTGTTGCGACTTTTAAACCAAAGATGATAGAGATAATCAATGTGATTCTACATTGGGCAGTGGCAGAGGAGGGAGGGCCTACAGTCCTAGGCTAGGAGAGGCTAAGTTGCCCTGACAGAGGAACAGACAGACCTGGTAACAAGCCCATTTGAAAAGACTGGATCCATGAACCAGGCAGCAAGGGGTCTTTAAAGCTTAACGGAAATGCCGAGATCTGCTCAACGCCGCGATAGGGGCAAATGCAGACTGTCTGGGAGGCAGCTGCTGTAGCAGCCGGGAGGCTCAGGTTGGACGTGCCCTTTTCAATCCGAAAAGGCCCACAAAGGGTTGGCAAGAACTCAAGATTTAGTGGGACTGAACTTGTACTCAGAGTCCCAAGAGGGACTCGCTGCTGTACCACTGGAAACATGAACAAGAATCAATGGTACCAGCAACATAAACAGATCAGAAGTGTGTAAAACATATATAAAAGGACAACAGTGGACCAGCATTGGAGGGTCTGTCCATCTCACAGGATTCTGAAAGATCCACATAGGCCCTGGTACTTTCCCGCAGCAGGCACAACTCTACTGGGCTAACCGCAGCATTGGGGCCATTTGAATCAGTGATCATCTGAATCTGAATCAGCATCCATCTGAATCAGTATCCATATCTGAATCAGTATCCATCTGAATCAGTATCCATTTGAATCTGAATCAGCATCCATCTGAATCAGTATCCATATCTGAATCAGTATCCATNTCCATATCTGAATCAGTATCCATCTGAATCAGTATCCATTTGAATCTGAATCAGCATCCATCTGAATCAGTATCCATATCTGAATCAGTATCCATATCTGAATCAGTGACCATCTGAATCAGTGACCATCTGAATCAGTGACCATCTGAATCTGAATCAGTGACCATCTGAATCAGTGACCATCTGAATTTGAATCAGTATCCATCTGAATCAGTGACCATCTGAATTTGAATCAGTATCCATCTGAATTTGAATCAGTATCCATCTGAATCAGTGACCATCTGAATCAGACACCATCACTACACCAAACCAGGGGATGTCACCGCCTGTAATGAGGACTCTCAACCACTCTGCACATCTCTAACCGATGTGACCACACCAGAAATTAAATTGTAAAACATGGCATCTCCAACTCAAAAAATATTTTCAGTCTCTCTCCCAGAACAGCTTGTTTGTCAAATGAAGAAACATAATAAAGTTTTCCTCCGTGTTCCTAAACGACACAGATGATGGCGACGGGCGTGCGATAGGCTGTCAGCCTCAGCTCGCCGACACCTCAGCTGCGGCATGACGTGGCAGCGTGAGCGGCAGCCTGGCAGCGGGTCTCGCCGAAATTGCCCGCCGACTCGGGACAGCCGAGGGGTGGGGGCATCTCAAGCCCGCTGACAGCCTGTCAAGCCCAACCCCCTTCTCCCCCCCGCCCCACCGCACAGGGAATCCATCAATCCGGATGTGGGCCCTCGGCCCAGGGGGTGCCCGGAGTCGCTCATGTGTACCAGTCAGCTGTCAGGGCCCGGTAACTGGGAGGCAGGCAGAAGGTGAAAGGGAGATGGGGGCCACCCTGACAGATGGGGAAGGGGGGCGCGTGACAAAACACAGGCATTCCAGCTCCCGGCAAGAGGCAAAGGCTCGGTAGTAAAGCACCATTCATAAAAAAAGTCTGTTTTAGGGAAGTAATACAGGAGAACTCATGATTGGCAGAGTGATGTCACTGCTGATCCTTGACCAACATCATTAATCCCCAATTGCTCCAGGGACTGGCTGACCCTGCCTTCATAATCCTAAAAGTGTAAGTGCAAAAACGTAACTGTATAACCCCAAGCGATGGGAAACCCAGCGGTGATATGGTAGTGGCCCTCACCTGGAGCATCCCGTAGCCCTCATTCTCAATGGTGCCCTCACACGTGATGTGCAGCTTTGTCAAGGGCTTGGCAGAACTGTGCCGAGAGAAAGAGCCAATCAGCCTTCGTGAAAACAGGGCACATGACCTACCATAGCGTGAGACCTTCCCTGCAATAAGTCGCGCGATAGGTCCGCGGGAAGAGTGGCGGATTTACCTTTCCCAGTCCGGAAATCGGGTCACACACTGCCTCGTAAACGTCACCAGGCCAGTCGGTGCTGATTGGCACGTCAGAGAACGTCAACGTTACCAAGGATTCACACAAGCATACGCAAGACGAACTCGGTAAGTCAATATATAACTCAGAAATCACAGAGCAGAACCGATGCCGATCAAACAGACGGAAACTAGCGTGGAGCTACGGAAGCTCACCTTTCTCCGTGACCCGTCTGAAGTAGCAAAACAATGTTTTGAGCTTCTCCACCTTCTTCGGGGAAGAGCCTTCAAACAACCTAAATGAATGAAGAGAGGAGGAGGTCAGTTCTTCCACGTAATGTGGACTGTGGTAATTTCTGCAAAACAGAAGAGTAATTATTCCATTAAGACCCCATGCCAGTAGACGTATTCGTCGGAGGGTCATGCCATTCATCAGAGAGCTTTTAGCTATAACACTATCTCAAAAGATCAATGGCAAAATTAATACTGCATTAAAATGATGCGTTTCTTACGCAACTGCTCCCTCCCCCTCAACCACCCCCACCCCCCCGCACAAAATACCTCCCTACAGCTAAAGCCCTTCCTGTACTCTGCCTCCTGCCCCCCCACCCCCATCAGGCAGGTATAAATATACTCCTCCCAGGGCGGTATAAATCATAGCCCCCATTCCCGGCCCCACGCCCACCCCCGGCTGAGTTTGTGACGGGCAGTCATTTTGCTCCAATGCAAATTAAACCCCCCCCGATGGAGCGCCGTGCTTCCGTCCAAACTATCGGCCCTTTTGAAGACACTCAAAATCCATCGGACCAGTAAGTCATGGCTGAGTCTCCCTGAGGCCAGGCACTGCGGTATCGTGCCCAGGTGAATCAGCTCAGAGAGGAAGAGCAGGCCACTTTTCCCTGAGGGACACGCATCAAACTGTGGGACCTCTTCAAGGAAGACATTACAAAAAAAGAAAGACACACAAAGTGAGCGGAACTGGAAGCGAGGATGTGTAGTGCGGCTTTTGACATCTAGGCCATCGCTGTCTTCCAGCTAAACGTGCAATTCTATTCTGCCTTCCTCTTGCCTGTCAAACACCATTATTCTATTTTTTTCTAAAAAAGCACAACAAATCATAGAATGAAGCTGATGCATAAAATGCCTTCAGGGAAACAGGGAAAGCATCAAGAGAGTTATTTTTTTAAGTGGGTTCCTGCCTTCTACCGAACCAGCAGCAACAACGCTACAACATGTGACCTGGTCATTCAAGTAAGGCGGCCATTAGGGTGACAGGAAGCTTCTGGTGCCTTTTCGGATGAAAGGTCAAACAAATCACAGCGCAACAAATGGCTCTCTAGGGGATTTCTAAAGACGACCAAATCAACCAGTTTCTGTTTTCAGAGTCAAAGCCACACAGCAATCCATTCCGGAGCTACTTGTCATAAGCACACACAGCTCTGAGAAAAATATGCATTTTTGCTAAATGAGGAGGAGCATTGTGGGTAGTTCTAATATAGCAAAAGCCTCACCGTGGGCCATTTCAGTCAGTTACGGCTTCAAGAAAGAGTTCCAGATTAATTAAAACGACAAAACGTCAGACTCCGCAAAACCGCCAACGTTACATTTCAAGATAAGCAAACCTGATAACGTAAAGTGGAGTTGCACTCAATTAGGTGCCATCGAACCAGCAGGAGCCATTCATCAGCAGCCTGTTTCACTTTAAAGTGCAAGAAACAAATGCCCCCCTCAACCAAAACTGGCCAAGAAGCAGAATTAAATGCTGATGCTGAGGGGGGCCGCAATGACCAGCATCCCCCGGCCCGACCTGTTGTCACGGTGCCCGATCTGAATCGATGCTAATTTTATTCCTCGTTCCATTTAGATAATAACAAGCTCATGCCAATAGAGAAACATGCCGGTCACATCGGAGACTCGTCAATGGAGGGCTGTGGTTCCTTTAAGGAGATTGGCCATTGCATTACACTAATCCCATAAAGCCGGGTTGGGGAGTGGGGGGGGGGGGGGGGGGGGGGGGGGGGGTGGCTGCTGAAGGCCACACACACACACACACACACACACCCAGCAACCGCAACATTTTGCTGCTCCAAGGGCAAAATCGTACCAAACATAAAATCCCTAAAGATGTTGAGCTATAACCCAGCTAAAACACTAAGCAAAATGATTAAGACTCACATTAATAACATCACCCAAAGAGACACCTTTATCATGGACGTACATTTGTCTCTCAGCACCAGGTTACAGATCTTCTGTGAAGAAGCAAAGCAGTGACGCTCCTTCAGTGTTAAAGCTGCATGAGGAGTTTACAGGTCCCCCTCACTTTCATCCCGCAGTGCACAGACATGCATTCAGGCTAACAGGTGTTTCTGAGCTGCCCGCTGTGTCAGTACCCTGCAAACAGAGTTGGGTAATTCAGGTCCAGAGAGTAAAAGTCCAGACCGGGATTTCATTTCAACCAAGCAGTAGAGTACTCTGTGACAGTGACTCTTTATGCCGAACAGGTTGACCGAAACAAAATCTTGGTCTGGACTTTTACTCTCTGGACCTGAATTACCCAACTCTGCCTGTAATAGACGTCCATGGTGCTCCTGTGCTGTCTGAGATATGTTCAAAGACCTGCCGCAACTTGGGATAAGCTGCTGAAAATCTGAACATTAGCACCGGTTCAATGCACAGTGACAGGTATCGTTAAGCATGTAAAGCTGAAGCATAAAAATGTAGATTCTTATATATCACATCATATATCATGTGAAGACATCACAATACTGTGAACAGCACTGTTTAAAGAGACAAAACTAGGTTTTATTACGACAGTGGCAGGGAGGGGTCTCCCTGTGCACACGCTCAGTACAAACGATGATGTCACCCCCGGAGCCGGAATCTGTCTTTGATTTGTGTTCTGTGAGGGTCGCCTAGGTCTTAAATGCAACAGGCCAATTGTGCTTGTTGTTGGGTGCTGAGAGGCAAGAGGTTACACAGTTCACTGGGTCAATCCCTTGTCGGGACTAAGCTTACAATGAAACAGGCAGGGAACAAGCTTGGAGAAAGAGGAAATGCAGTGCTCAGGGACGTGAGGAGTGTTGTGATTTTTGTCCAAAGGCAGTGTATGTCCATGGGCTGCCTACAAAGCCATCTAGATTTACAGTTTTGCTTCTTTAATCACCAGAATATGTACCGTCACTGAAAAATAACGTGTTTTCCTTTTTTATATAATGAACCACTACCATACACTACAATATAAGGAAATGAACTATTTATGACTTACACAAAGATAAAAAAAAATGCTGAGAGATCATTTCTACACATTATTCATTCATGAGACAATGTTGCACTGTTTATGTTTAAAAGAAAATTAACACGTTTTACTGTGCCTGCATGATAGCATGTAAAACTATAAACAGAAAACATTCATGCCAAATTAATTTCAGTCTGAATCCATTTCAATCACATCATTAGTAAGATTTTGTTGCTGACAAAAGGAAATATGATGATTGGTCCCAACTAGTTCCATTACCCTTGGAGTTACTAAAAGCCAATAACCAGAACTGGCACTAATGTGTTTAAAGCTTTAAATTACATGAGTGAAGAGACTATTAAACAGCAACATAAAAATGAATAATGAGAAATACTGTCACTGTATAGTGTCACTGTATAGTAATTCTGCAATAATAAAAACAAACATTTGGATTTAAAAATGTGTGTATATTGTAGCTTTTGAGAATTAGTACTACATAGACAGTTTAATCAGCTGCTTTTATCTGAATATTATGCTACAAATAATGCATAAGAACAGCAGGAACTCATGAGCGGAAAATGGCAAAATGAATTCAGACTCTACAGCAATTAACGGTTTAAGCAAACCCTGATCACCCAAACGTATTACAGCAACCATCCAAATCTATTTTAAACAAATTTTGCTGGTAAATTAATAGCTTCAGATCCCCCAAGAATTTTGCCAATGCCATTTCACTGTAGTGGCACTGCATCCAGTGACTGCAGTATAAAGATTTCCTACAGAAAGAAAGACTGGACAGTCAGCTCAAGATCTAGTAATATAACAAAATCTTAGGTTATGAGTTTTTCCCCTAAACTGCATGAGGCTCTCAAAGTAAGAGAAGCATTTCTACGTGTGAACCTATGTAATATACAGAAACATCAAAAATTTGGTAATATTTAGGTTATATTTATCCTGCAGGATATTGCTTTGAATAACTGAAAAGATGATGTTTATGCTTTTTAAATTTAGTTTATGAAACTGGAATTCATTTAAAAATATATTTGTGAAATTCAATAAAATATGGTTTTAAGGGTGATTTTCACCTTAAGAGAAGCACACCCTCCCGACAATTGACAGGGTATAATGAAAGCAAAGTTTCAAGTATGCTTGAGGTACAATGACACAAAAAAATGATACTGACGTCTAATAACCCTACCTCAGCTCAGAGTTTGAAGTCAGTTCAGGCCCAAACCCAGTGCTTGTTATGTAGACCGAGGGCAAGGCTACACCGAAACTGACGAAACATTAGCGCTGTATTTTAAACGTGGTATATCGTGTGAAATGTGCCAACCGTGTAGGGTGTATAGTCAGGAAAAATTTAAGACTGACAGTTGATATGTAGCATGATGCTACACTTCAAGACACAATGAAACCTGGTTAAAATTAACATGGTCCCAACAGGTGTCTTCAAACTGAAGTGAATTGTATTGTGTGTTAGTATTAATTCCACAAACACAGCTGGCCACCCAGTTAAAAATTTTAGACACTAGCTAAGATCGGCTAAGATGTTTCAAATAAGGAAAATCAAAAACTAAAAACTAAATTCCTTGGATAATACCTACTAGATACGATAGAAGTTAAATCAGCTGGTAACGAAGACCAAGTAATCAACAAGTAACTGAGAAAGGCCAAAGAACTACAGAAAACAGAAAAAAGTTCAAATTCAGAGTAAGGGATGTTTAGCACTTCTGAAGGAAAGCTATTGAAGCATAGAAGATGAAAGGTGATAAAGCATTAGTCATGAAAATTTGAATAAGTTTTCTAGACTGTAGTGCCCTCTAATGGAAGCATGACAATTTATTATTTGCGAAAGATCCAAAAAAAACTAATTTCACATGGGACTTACTGACCACGCTTGTGTGTACATGTTTAGGTAGGGAGACACTTTGGGGATACGCCCAATGCTTAGTAGCAATCAATTAACCCAAATCTTCAAAAGATGACTTTTAATGGCATTCCTTAAGGGAAGAGCAGCTGAAAATGAAAGCTATTGGTCAAAGCTTCCAAAAAAATGCACAAGTATGCATAGAAACTGAGGTGCCTTCTGGAGTGAAAGTATAGAGTTCAAAGGCTGCAAGCCTAAAGTTTGATAAAAACGCCTCCATATGAAACACAGAAGATGGCAGTCAATGCCTCTCTGTACTACTGTAGGAGGACATGTGACCCTCATACTGTAGGTCTGCAAGCCAGTCTAATTTAACAGCACCCGTTTGAAAGGGGTTCCTTTGACTGGCATGATGAACACACTCATGCACTATACAGTTAATACCAATGCAACAAAATAAAAAGGTAAATTATTTGTAAGACACATTTTGGATACTACAATCCAGAATGTTTTCAAACTGCAGCAGGATGCTTACTGCATGTCATCGGATGAATAAAATTAAACTGCACATCTATACTGTGGAGGCTGCATTTCCCTCTGTCTAATGCCATAAATACAGACTTGTGTGTTCAAGAATGGAGAAAAAAAACCTGGCAAAGATGAACACAGAGTTAACAGACAACAGATCAGAGCTGCAACATGTTCCAGAGCACATATTGCTGCATTCGCAGCAAACATATCACTGCATTCGCAGCAAACATATCACAATGAGCATCTAAGCAAACCTAATAAACGTTATAAAATGGATTATAAAATTATTAACGATGGAAAGCTTTGGAGGAGAAACCTGTACCTGAACAAATTGATGTCGGGGTAATTTGCGTACTCCAGCTTCCTGGAGTTGCGTCGTGGAAACGTACTGAAGAAGGCATTGGCCAGTAGACAGGCGATTTGTTGCTGTGACATCGTGATGGAGTGATTCATCTTCTGCTTAAGCAACGGTATTGGCTGAAAAGGCAGAGTGAAGCAGGGGCAAGGCAGAGATAATTAGTTTAGCTAGCAATTTGCCAAACAAGGAGTAGAAATTCCATTAAGTAAATGACTAGCACTAATTTAAGTCCCCTCACAGATTCTTAAGTCAGCCAGAATCATACCTTCAAGAGCAATCTACATCTAACCTGGAGCTCCTTGAATTTACCCCTGTAGGTTGAAATCCTACACAACTACGTTAAAATTATCGCTAAAATTATTAGCGGATGGACTGGCGCCGCCAACAACAGAGCAGGCTCTTGCCGTCAGTTTTCTTTACACTGTAATTTAATTAAAACTAGCGCATCTTTCACTTTCTCATTAAAGCATCACTGGCAAAACACCATGTGCCGAAGTCCTTGACGTTCGGATACAATAGCAGTGGCCGTAAAGAAAGGCGTGCCAAGTACTCTGACGAAGGTGCAGCACTGCACACTTTGTTCAGCAAAACCGATGACAAGTCATGCTTTATTAGACTGTAAAGAATGACTCATAATAAACTAATATGCATCCTGAGTGGTACTTGGCTTTTATAAAGCAACGACTGGACGCGAATTCTTTAGTTACGGCAGGCGAAATGGCTCCAGCCGTTTCGATGCATAAATCAGTCAGCTGCTCTGAAGTCTGAAGAGGCTCGGAGGAAGGTGTAGAACAGACGCAGATTCTGGTGGGGTATATCATTACTCTCGGTCATGCATTCCAACACACCCCAAGGATGAACGATGGCACATCCATTGATTTGGCCATAGCTGCTCAATTTTCTGTCTTAATATGCCATGAGTCAGCTCAGCTTGGGGTCTGAAGGTCCCCTGACCTTCTTGGGCTACATCCCTTCTCCCTGGATGAAGTCTATCTGCCTCATTCAAAGCGGGACCCCTTAAACGATATTCAGATGCATTGGGTCCTCTTCCGACACCTCCATTCGGCATTTATGCGACGTTATTCCTCTGCCCCTCTGCTGCTTGAATAAGGTGCTTTGCCATTCATTCCACTAGACGCTATCCATTTAAGAAGAGATAGAAATCTGTTTTTATGAGGGCAGATGTGTATCTCTTCCCCGCATTAGAGATGTCTGTCAAGCTTGCATGATACATGCAGACCACTTCACACGCAGCTCCCATAACCTTAAATAAGAAAAATTATGTTATAAAACAAAATCCCATATAGGGTTAGTGAATTACTAGAGATACTCTTGTGATGGATATCAGGCCATGGAGAAACTTATAAACCCGAATGGGAGGGAGAACGAAAAGTTCAGGAGGAAGTGAATAGCCAGACACTGCAGTTGTACTTGCCTGGAGGGAGCGGAAAAGCCCCAAGACACGGGACTTGCTGCTCAACGGTCAAAGCTACTCGGCTGCTAACGAGCTCTCATACCGCAGGTGCTCATTATCCCCTGGCCTTCATTCGGGAGGACCGCAAGGCTGCAGAGCCTTAATAAGAATCACAACTCGGGCCAGGGACCTTGACCCAGCCCCATCTTCCCGTTCAGTTTTGTCAGCCTCCGATCCCCTTCTCTCGCTCCGTACCAACCTTGGTGCAGAGCTTGTCTGCGCTGAGGGCCAGCTCCGCCATCTTTGGCAGGACGGCCGCGAACAGATGCTGCACGGAGTGAGGATCAAGAACCTTAAGGAAAGAGGGAGCGTCAATGTGGAGAGCTTCTCCGTCAGGATCAGCTGCTACATCGGGCTGGACTGCTATCAGCCAGCTGCACTGCTAATGTGATGAAACACAGGACATCGTTAATGAGCACAATGACTCTCCTCTGTCTGAGCTGGAAAGATGGCTTGGACCAGAGTTTAAAAAAAAAAAAAAAAAAAAAACACACACTAGACTCATTTCTTTCCATTGAATAAACACTTTATCATTTTAAATAGCCCCATCTGCATGCACACTCAATCAGAAATAAATAACGTATGTTCCAGAAGGTGCTTGCATTCATCTGAATAGTGAAAAATAAGCATGTCACATGGCACAGCTAAAGGGCAACTCCAAAGATCTGAACATTTGACCTTTATAGCATTAACCCAACAGACTCGTCTATAGCATATATTACACTCACTCATTGTTTTTTTCCCCATTTAAAGAAAATTTAATATATCACACCTAAAACCCACAAGCAAGCATGGCTAAACGGCTAAAGACCAAAAACACATAATGCCTTCCAGCACCACCTCGCGTCGACACATGATGCGGTTAAAAGGCACCATGGGATACTCCAAGATCTCGAAATAGAAGAGATCAAAGACACACGACTGAGCCCCGCTGTCGGCTTGTCAGTTAGAACCCCATTCCGAGGTCAGGGGTGCAAAACAAGGCCCTTGGATGGATTGTCAACTTATCAGTGGAAGGACAGTGATCTCACTGGCAAATTGACATTGCATGGCAATGCAGAGCTTTTTTTTTTTTTTTTTTTTTTTATTTAAAGAAGGGTCTTTTAGGGTTCGGCAGGGGACGAATAACAGCAGAGATGAATAACAAAATGAGGTGCATTTGTATTTGCATTGAAACACTGAGTAAGGAATTCACCCATGTCATTATGATGGTGATGAATATAATATGGATGACAATGATGGTGATGAATATAATATGGATGGTTATACGTTGTTCCGTAGAGACCGGATGAGGGATTATATATCTTATGGATTCCAACTACATTAACAAGTAGTGTAACTATATACTTCCTTCTAATGACAGATAAAAGTTAAAGTGCAGAGTGAAAAATTTCCCAAAGAATAACAGCAATAATTCCACATAAATTTCCATGATTATTATTTTTGTAATAATTTTACATTATTGCAACAACACACCTTCATCAAGGGAGCACACCGGTTCATTAGAACATAAATCAACTCTGCATAGAAAAGATACAGAGACCCTTTCAATACACAACTGCAGTTTATGTAGCGTGAGTTGCATATTCCCATTTTTTTTACTATTATGCTAAACAGGACATCATCGAGACTGCTTTCTAATATTTTCCCCTCATGTTAATCCATTACAATCACGTTCGTCAATCGAGGCACCAACTAATTTTATTTATTACTAGAGTTTTATTTATTTTATTTTGACTCCTACAAGGCTAGGCTAGTTAAAATGCTCGACTAGCTGCTGGGGTGCTAACCAACTTACACGGCAACTCACACAGCATAGCTTCAAAATAGCCCCAAACAAAAACAGCAAAAACACCCAACAAAACGGCGAACAACCTTCAGCTAGAATTAGGCTTAATTAATTAAAAATAGCCGAAGTAGCTAATTTCTTGGACTTAGCAAAACAAAAACACCCAAGTTTTTTTAATTCACAAATTATGCAGCTAGCTCATCAGGCATGTTATTCAGGGGTGTAGCCTGTGTATATGAAGTACTATTTCAGGATAAATCTAGGCAACCCTGAACAAATCATAAGCATTTAACGTTATTCTCTAAAAAACTGCTACTCTGTTAAAAATTGTTTATAAATAGAACAGCAGCACTTTTGTTAATGACATAGCACAGTATCAACTAAAAACTTGAATTACTTGTCAATAGGGCCCAGTTGAAGGTTGTCTGTGATGCTGATGGCCCTTCCCAAAGCTTTATGGTCATGATTTCTCAAGAATAAGGCAGCAGAGGGGAAAACCAACCATTCTCGGTATGTTCTAGAACAGCATTTCATCTGTGCAAAGGAAATTTACATGTTAATTACAGGTTAGTTATTCTAAGTAAAATAGTACTCATTTAAAACCATGAAAGCCACAACTGACCCAAGGTGTCTACGAAGAAGGTGAACGAAACAATTGGTTAGAACGCAAAGACCCAACTAGAGCACTGGATTCAATTTTATTCCAAGGACTGACCACTCATTTTGGATCTGGGCAAAACAGGCTTGGAACATAGAAGGGAGATCGCTTTGGCTTGGCTGAGGGCTTTCTCAAACTAAGTGAAATCTCATTAAAATCTTGGATGCAAATGTTTTTTTTTTTTTTTTGAGGGACCAGTGCTCTGATTAGTGGTCAGATTGGCAGCTCGGCAAATAACCATAAGGAGAAACTGTCTGAATATGAGACACCTGGAATAAGGCAATTTAACGTTTGCCATTTGCAAAAAAAAAAAAACCTTGCAAAACCTCACAATGAGAACAGTCTCCTTCAGACAAAAGAGACGTCAAAATTTCATATTTTCAAAGCAGGCTTGATGGGCAAACAAGGGCAGTTTTATTTGGTATTGAATAAAAGGATCTTTTCAGTAGCCAGACACCAAGATTCCTAGGAAAAGAAGAGTGCAAGCTATCCTGAACCTTCGCATATTTCCAGTTCAATGATCGTAAGATTTAAACAATGTGGTTTAAAAAAAAAAAAAAAAAAAGACTAAAATACAGAAGCAGAGAGTTAGGACATTTAGGAAACCAGTGGCCCACCCCACATGCTTTTCCACAAACATGCTTTTCCACATCATTCTAAGATGGGGGTGTCGTGATTTTTCCTCATAGCGGATATTCACTATGTACTTATTTATAACAGCACTGGCTGCAAAATGGCGGGATGATCAATCACCGGGCAATTTCATCAAGGTTTGGCTGGGGGTGTCGGCTGATTAAATGGATTCCTGGAACAGATGCAAATGAACAAAATGTGTAGAGCGGGATGGGGTGTTCCTAGCCAAGAAGCCTCGACTGGCAATTTAGCGCGAAACATTTACACTCCTGCAAAAGAGGCCCGACTAAACACTGTCATAAGTAATGACCTGCATGACATCATAAACCGCTCCTTTGGGCATAATGAATGAAAGCGGCTGACAGGCCAAATGGGATACAGCTGAGGTAGCACGAGGCGGCGTTTCTAAATCAAACTGCGACAGCGCATCAAATCAGCTAAACTAACACTCGGCGCACGACTTGAAACGGTTCTATATATCACATCAAACTGACAAAGTAATCAACCAAAAGAGGCAGTCTGCGTCAGGGCAAAGTTTTAGATTTAGTACCGTTTTCCTAGATTCTCAGCCTCCGCTGCCTGCCCCGGCACCGACGGTAAAGCACTTGGGGTCGGCAGAAATGTAGCATAAAAGAAGAGAAACGTTTGTGAGCTCATATCCATAAATACGAAAACAATCTGACCCTGTCTGTCAGGGGCGTTCGTGCTGTTCATTAAGTGGATCTGGCGGATGAATATTTAATGGGTGCGTCGGTCTGTCATCCACCCCCCCCCCCCCCCCCCCACCCTCGCTCCACCTGACACTCACTCACATGGCGGGTCAAAATGCTTCAAGACATCTCTATCAGAGATCGGTGGCTCCATCTGATGGAACATCAAAACAGCTTTTACAGCGTATTTGTGTTGGCTGCATTTCCCAAGAAAGCTTCTCTAACACAGCAGAACCCCCTCAGGTTCTAACTGGGTATATACTGGGGATCTTCTGCTAATTAAATTTTACAGAACACCCCCTGATTGCAGAAAAAAGGAGGAAAATGGACACCATGAGCTCAAAAGAGACTGTATATAAACACCATATATGTGGAAATTTATTCTTAACTAACTTTTGCCACACAACAACTCAAACGGGAGCTACATTTACTGCACCCACTGTGGAGACATTAGTAAAAAAAAAAAAAAAAAAAAACATGGCGATTATCCCAAACCTTCTTTTCAAAAGCAACAGGCTACTCTAGAACAGTCCTCCATATGCATGTTCTCCATTTACGCTGCAGACAGGTAACTCGATTCCCCTGGTTTGCATTTGTGTCTAGTCGGTCATTACTCCACCTACAGCTCGCCTGAGCCCACTTAACCGGAGCTTCCCTCTCAGACACCGTAGCCTTCCGAACGCAACCAAGTTCAGATTAATAAGGGGAAGGGTGGACAGTCCAGTCCACGCGAAATGCACCATGTCTGGGGAAACCCGCAGAGGGAGGCTTTACGGAACCGACGGCCCCCTTTTCACGGCTGTGGAAAGACGGCGGACTGGCAGCTTTATCCTCGAGAGCCACTAGGACCGTTTACAAAACGGCCGCTAATTTGTATTTCCTCTTTGTAACCATTACAACTGGCGTGTCAATCACGGCGGCCGTCTGCCTTGGAGGCTTTTCACCTCCTCGGAATGATTAGACTATTTGAGCGACTTCGGGAGGGGGGCCCGAGAATCTAATTAAGTCCGAAGAATTTAACAAGAATTGGCTGGCATTTTGAATATATGGGCTTATTTTGCCCAGACCTTAGGGGTAGACTTTCGATTCCTTTTGCCACGAAGAAACAGCATAAAAGTCTCCCCCCCGCTTGTCACGATAAGGCCAAATACCAAAACTTGAGAAATAGGTAGCTAGAGAACTAAGCCCACTCTGTAAATTTAACCCTGTGTTTACATCTATGCTGTGAAGAGACTAACTAGAATTTCTCCCTCAGCCTTATTCATAAACTAACATGCATATCTTTAATCAAAAGACAACGGTTTCAATAAGCTGGACATCCAACTAGCATTACGAGTCGATATGAGTGTGTTAAGTCGAGGAGATGCTGTTTAGCTACTGTGACTTACCACTGTGACGTTGAGGCTTAAACACACAGCGGGGTGGAGGGAGGGTAATTTACAGAGCATACAAAAAACATTTACAGAGTAACATCAGAATCCATTCTAGCATAACAAACAGCCCAATACACCAAATGACAAATTCAACAAGAGCTCCTCGTAAACTACATGTTTCCATATTAGAAGAATTAAGCAAAATTACAGTCCTAATCTCCCATAACAGACTTGTTATTTTATTACCAATATGAGAAAATGGATAATTTAAAAATTGAGCCCAAGGTACTTTAAACCACTTATAAATTAAGCAGAGAAGCACAAGGCAGCTCCAAATTCATAACGAGCTCAAGGTCTCCACGGGAAGTTAATTTCCAGTCAAATTAAATATAATAGCTAGCGTGTCGCTGCTCAGTGCACCGGTGGCCATAGCTAAAGACGTCCTTATTAGATCCAACCTGGTCAGCCGACACCTTTAGCGCCTTCTCGGCAGGAGTGCGCGAAAATAGAGTTAAAACTGCGGGTAAATTAAACGCTATGGAAACAGCAATTAGTAATAGTAATTGACATTTTATCAACATGGAACTATCCCTTAAAAAGGGTGGGGCGGGGTATCTTATAATACAAAATGCGTAATTTAACGGTTTACATATTTAATTTGCATATGCATAACATAACATCTCATATGTTGACGCATGGAGACTCGTGAATCTAGGAACGGTCCCAGGACTTGCCATTTCGATTGGGGAATGGCCATCAAGATGGGGGTGTGAGTTTACGTCGACGGAGTCGTGTAGGAAAACAAACAAAGGAAAATAGGTGTGGCTCTTGTCTTTGGCGGTTAATAGTCTGTTCAGAGGATCGCTTGACAGGGCGTCTACATTACGCTAACTCAGCGGAGGAGGGGGGGGGAGGTCTCTAATCACTTACTGCAATTTCACCAGGGGAAAACAGCTGCCAGTTTGTCGTCAGCTTTACCCCAGAAGTACCAATGTTGCCAGCAAACGCAAAAAACAAACACATATTTTACTGAGATCTAGCACCTGTTTATTATTGATCATGTGATCAGGGTGAACATTTTTCCCAAGTATAAAACAGCGCAACAGAAAAATGAAGGGAAGCAGAGCACACCGTAGCTAAAATATATCAAATACCGTTTTTTTAAATTATGACATGTAACAATTTATATTTTGATGTGAGGGGAAAAATTGAGTCAGTTTCTTTAATGCCTTGAAAAAAATGAGTATTGTGAGCATTTCCCAAGAGTGCCCTCTACTGCTTAAAATTGGAACAGTAGAATAATGTAAATAACCCTCCATTCAGTTTCAAAGCTACCCAAACAAGCGAGGATAAGAGTCAATCTCCCAAAACGGCACATCGATTTCTCATAAGGAACAACGATTTTGAGAAAGATGACTATTTCATTTTCTGATCGATCATTTGTAATGGCAATATGTATCTTTTTTGTGATATTTCTACAGGACACTTCCAAAGAATAACAGTGACTATGAACAGTGGCACAAAAAATGCATGTATCAATTTATCAAACAGAGCAAAAATAAGACATTCTGCAGGGCTCGGAATAATTCTTCAAATTTTTTTGCAGTTATTCCATGATCCAGTGCTTAATTTCACTTTCCCTAGGCATACTGACTGGTCCTATATAATTAGAAAACCATCACAATTTTTACAAATGAAAACCCTAACGAAAGTATATAAAGTACTGATGAAGGATTATCACATGTACAAAGACCAAAAATGTGGTGAAGTTCACTGAAGACAGTTGTCTGCTGAAAGCAACTAAACACAGTCAGGAAATGCAAAGCTAACGCTACACGATGAGAGCTGGTGACCTTGAGTGGTGCCACATCTCTGATGTGCCACACAGAAGGAGGGCAGAGGTGCCAGAGCCGGACCGGGGAGCAGGGCAGGGCTACACAGCACATTACCATCAGGACGGGCTGCTCTCCGAAGCTACCCTCCATTAACGTGCGTACAGATTTAATGCTTCCTTTTAATTAAATTAAATGGAGCTATAAAGTTATTTAAAAACCTGTCGATGGAGAATAAATCTTTCCCGGCCTATAACTTCCACAGTTTTGGCAAAGAAACCACACATACCTCTGTGACCCAACTTTTAAGATCTACCACAGTAATAAATCTGGGGTGGCAGCCAAGACAACGGCACGAAAAAAAAGGACAGCGGACCACCTTTACTATTCTCACATCCCGGTTACAGCATGGATGAACTAAGTAAGATTATTCATAACAGCGGCTATAAAAAGGAATTCAAATTAAAGCATTAGTTAACATTTTAAGGGCAGTTCCTGGGTTAATCAAGTCAACCATCCTGTTATCAGGTGACGCTGAATACCACCCCTACTTGACACGAATATTAAATGATATTTTCAGAGGTCAAACACATCGAGTTGGGAAGGAAACACACTCGTCTAAAGGGTAAATTTAACGATTCTCATTTCTGCCGTGGACCCACGTGCAACCTTTAGTATACGGACACAATTAAATTTTTTTTTTTTTTCCTGCTATGTCATATGTGTACAGCTAGTATTGATTGTGCATAAAACAAAACTGTTTATGTTGTCCCAGGAAGTTCACCCTAAATTGAACACCTAACACTGCGGGTTTGTGGGAAACTTTGATCGCCTTACATAGCATCTCTGTTCAGTAACAGCAAGTGGCCTAAAGTCTGGCTCCTGAGCCGTTCGGGCTGAGCTCACCAAAGCCTCGCACCTGGAACGGCAAGCAAAGTAACACCCAACCCCCACAATCCATTTACGTGATGCATTACCTCCAACCCAATGATTGACGACGAAGGCAGCAGGTAGATTCATGTCCCCGATAGCAGAGGCGTACTGTATTAAATCTCCTACACACTTAAATATATTATGACCCTTCAATAACTGAATCGACTTAATGCAAGTAGAATGAAAGGCAACAAAAGGTTCAAATGCTCCCGCCCTCAGAATCAGCCAATCGGGGTGCACTATATGGAATGCATCTGGTTCTGTTGCATTTGCAGCCAATGAAGGCTCAACACAGGGAAGCACGCTCATAGAAATTTAACCCTGAGCTCAATAATGCAACGATACACCGAAGCGTTCCTTTTAATAGACGTAAAGCTGAGTCACGGTCAAACTGGGCTAGGGACACTAATGCAGCGTAGTAAGTGGAGTCGCTGATTGGTCCACTTCGCTTGGCCCCATGACAGAGAAAGGCTCCCCATGCGAGCGGATGAATCAGCCACGGCCTTTCCGGACGGTGTACCTGCGATGCGGGGAAATGGCCCAGCACTCCGTCTCCGACAGCTGCTGATTTCATGCTTTGCCGTGCCAGCTCTAATTGGATAGCTTAATAGGAACGTCTGCATACGGTTTGTATAAATAAACCTTAATTAGCCAGCCTCTGCGACAGCACAGCGCACCGTGAAATAAACAGCCCCCAGTGCTACCTCATCTCTTAGACAGGAGGCAGCCTTTGAGAAGCTTAAGCGGAACCTTCCGTTACCGCGTATCGGCACGAAATGACTTCGGACCAATCCGAGAGATGCTCATCGTTCTTAATATTACCACCACGGGCAGACCAATTATCCCGGAATCAGAGGCGGTCGTTAGGCCGCTCGTTTCGTTAAGGCCCGCTGAGCTGAGCAACGCACCAAAGCGTAATGGCGCGTCCACCTAGGGGTAGACCGATGCCGTCACAGACTGCGCCAAATGCTGGGGGGTTACGAGCCTTCGCCGAGGAGCAGACTGCAAGGGTGACGAAGATGACAGGAGGAAAACTGCAGAACGTACGCAGAAATCAGGATGGCTTTTCGCTGCCATTATACTTCATGCTGGCTGTGCTTTGGTGTGTTAATACTACGGGCTATAACACCAACCCGGTCCATGGGGACCCCCAGATAGTCCACGTTTTTGCTCCCTCCCAGCTCCCTGCCAGTCAACATTTTTGCTCCCGTCCAAGGGAGTAAAAATATGGACCTTCCCGGGGCTCCCTAAAGACCAGGTGGGGAAACACTGAGCTATAGGACTAACACAATCCACTCAACATGTTGCAATGGGATCACAGTAGATCATGTTAATTATACCAGGGCTTGGAGAACAAGGAAACAATTAAACCCAAACCTCTGAAACAATCACACTCATTCATCTGACGGCTTTGCATAAAGCAACTTACGGTAGAGAGAAGGATTATGATTTGTGTGCTCCCTGGGATTCAAACCCACAACCATCTCATTGTCAGTGCGATGCTCTACCTATTGAGCTGCAGGAGACTAAACATGCAATTGAAATGGTAATTCAAATATTTTCATCAACACTGACAGTTTACTGTTTATAGTATATATAAAAAATATAATAAGGCTTATGATGCAATTTGAGGAGATGCACTGAGTTCCCAATCAAACGTGTCAAAACAAACAAAACAAATGCTTATTGAAGACCAGATGCGACAAAGAGAGTGTTTTAACTGGCTTTTAAACAGATGAGGCCTGGCTTTCACATTCTACATGAATCACCAACAGTATAATTATATGCAGTACTTTTTTCCCCCATAATAGCAATTTCTTGCCTGAATTAAGCGCTCAGTGCTGTAGACTAAAGGGTTGTGGCATCTTACCCGTGATGAATTGTCACTACTGTAGGAGACAAGGAAGAGCATGATCTACAAATCAAACCCAATGCCAGACAGAGTGCTGACACAGACCAGTCTAAGCATGCAAACCACGGACCACAATAATTCACATGCCCAGAATCAATCTGGGTCAGAGGAGAGCAATCACAATGTAAACGGCAGCAGGTAGCTTGTGGGTTTAAGGACAGGGACTCCAATCCAGAAGGTGACCGGTTCAAATCCCTGGAGGTGCCCAGCTGTAATGACCAGTAGCAAGACAACCTGACTTAAATGTACAGATGGTGAAATATCTCTGGGTCACACTGTCTAAGCCAGATACAAAGATGCAAACAGGGGAAATGCAGGAACATAATGAACTGCACCAGTGGAAAGTTCCCCACCATGCGCGCAAAAGATACATTTTTATGCTGCAATGCTTACCTTGGTACAAAGGATATTCATGGCACTGAAGTCCCATTTCTTGGAATGGGCCGTGTTGTATTTCAATATTGCACTCTGAAATGAAACATTTGTCAGGAATTAGCACAGGATGTCGAGCAGAAGCTTTAAATCACTAATAGGCCCTAAGAAGGACAGACAATGAAAAAACAACACAAAGAACCCTTAAATATATCCATACTAAGGCAGATTGAAAGCAAAACCATTAAGCGTTCTAATTGTTTTTTTTTTTTTTAGACGTTCACGCCACCTAGTGGCTAAACCTATAATAGCTGTCGAGGAAACCTGGAGTCATGTTGGTTTTCTTCATAATGTCAGTAGCAGGAAATAAAACTACCACACAGGAAATGTACAAGGAAGGCACCATTTTCAGTAACAATAAAAGCGAAGTGCGTTTGTCAAACACGCTCGTAGATAAATGGCGTCATGCTAAGTGGTGTAACACAGCAGCAGTCCTACCAGCATTCTGAAACAGGAAGTGCAAAAAACAGCTACATAATCACAAACCTAGGTTTTACCAATTCTTATTAACAATTAATCAATAAAAACCTCACCTTCACACCATAAACACTTTTAAACTCTGTTCTCAGAGCTTTCTGAATCAATTCCCATCGACTCTGTACTCCACCTCCGTCCTGGAGAAAAGCCAGGCAAATACATAAACAACACGTATGTTCACAAGGTTTCTGCAGGTTTAAACAAGTGCAATTTAAAGCTTTTTATGACCTTTTTAAGACCAGTACGAATGCAATTTAAGACCTATTTTACATCCATATTGGCAAGCAAATGAAGGAAATTCAGTCCTAGAATTGCTTGCAAAGTACATTAATATATTCACATTCAACATGCACATTCAGCTATTTATTTTCATTTATTTTTTTGATGAGGGGATGCCAGATTAGCACACCGCAACACAATAGCTGGGTCAGCCCCGATAAATTCTGACCAGGCTACACAGTTTGTGGTTAGTGGTCCCATTCTAGCTGTGTAGCTTTGTCACAGCATAACCAATACATTTTTACCCCAAAAGCACATGTAAAAGCAAGACTTCAGGTAATGCAACTTTATAAATGTAACGTTCAGTTTTTAAGACCTGTCAAAATCATATTTAAAATATTTTAAAGCCTAAAATTCAGATTAGTGGATGTTAAACATTTAAAAACTTTTGAAGGACACATAGGAACCCTGGTTCAGAGAGCACTTTAAGAGGTAAGCTCAGTACCAAGTAGACCCCACTTGTGCCCCTACAATAGCTATAAGGGCTGATGCGTTGTCTGTTCATAGAGGCCTTTCCGTTTCGCACTGTTCCTGCACTTCCTGTGGCCTTCCTGTTATTCTGAATACTCTCCACTCTCATTAGCAAGATGTTTTCTGCCACAGAAATGCCATTAACTGGATGTTTTTTGTTCATCACATCCTTCTCCAAACTCTAGACACTGTCGCGTGTGATAAGCCCCAGGAGAACAGCTGTTTCCGAGATAGCGGCAACCCAATGCGAGGCTCCAAAAATCACAGCACGTTCAGAACCATTCAGATCAGACATCACACACTCAGCCACACAGTAACGGGGCCTGTCTGTGTGCTGCATGTGCTCAGGTGCTGGAACGATTTAGAGGAGCGAGCTGTGTTAATTAGCAGCTGTAGCTAATAGACTGGCCCCGGAATGTGTAGAGATTCACAGAACGTATACACAGATATATAAGCAGATCCAGGCAAGATGTGGGACAAAAAACACACACCGCCACACACGCAATGTCGTCTTATAGTCCTACCTGTCCTTTTTAAGGAGCAACAGAAGCTAGTAGGCTGGCATGTATAGCAGGAGAAATATCAGCAAAAACAATGTCCTCTACAGAGGACTGAAATGAATTCCTGGAGCGCAAGAGGGTATGGAGATAAATATGGAGATACAGGCAGAATAATGCATGATGTTCAGGTAGGAGTCCACCAGGCCGTTACCACAAACCCACACTGCACCTCTGGCGATGCTGTGGCACCTACAGGACCCTGGGAGGCCTCTGGCGCCACCCGACAGGTGCGATTACCTCGCCATCCAACGGAAAGAGGCTCTTGTCTGAACAGGGCATCTTCACATTCAGCTCATCCCACGCATCCTTAAACTTTGTGGGATACGGGACGGGCACGTCTCCCTCCCGGAGCAGGTCGGTCTGTAAGAATGCACAAAGAAGAAATATTATGCAGCTGTAAGACCGTAGTACACCATGCAAGTAACTGCTTTACTTACAGGACAATATTGGGTAGCATACTCAATAGTACTTGATAATACTACGCTTAAGGAACTCATTAAAGCAATCCTGATGGCTGATGTCTTCCTCATGATAAGTCTCGTGTTGTCTGCAAAGACGACTCTCACAAACCTGTTCCCACGGACAGCGGACGAAAACAATGCATGTCTGCGGTTACGTGTTATCTTATGTTGTAAAGCTATTCTAATACTGCTCCTTAATGCCTTCAACCAAGCTTTAATATTAGAGTAATGAACAGGCTATACACACATACACTCACACATATATACATACATATTTTATATTTTCATAGATGACTTTTGGGGACCTGACTTTTTGGGATCTCCAAAGGTTCATAAAGCCTGAAACTTCCTTACTTTTTGGGACGTTTTTGGATGACCTCAATTTTATAAAAATCTGTGAATGCAATCAAAAAAAAAAATAAAATGCCAAAAGTGTCGTGTTTAGTTTGGTTACGGTTAGGGCTGGGTAGGAGTCAGGGGTGTCGTGATTGAGGTTATGGTTTTTCCCCATAGAAATGAATGGATAGTCTCCGTTTGGATAGGTAGGGGGGGTGGGTTTGCATAGATCACATTTGAGAACCAAATTGTCCCCAAAGTGTAGTAAAACCTGAAATTTCCCTACATTTGGGGACATCTTTTGAGGTCCCCATTTGGATAACCGCAGTTTTATAAAAATCTGTGAATGCAATCAAAAAAGTAAAAATGCCAAAAGTATTTGGGTTGGTTACTTATGGTTAAGGTTAGGGATGGGTAGAGGTTAAGGGTGTCGTGATTGGGATTAGGGTTTTTCCCATAGAAATGAATGGATGGTCCCCATTTAGATAGGAAGACCAATTTGTGTGTGTGTGTGTGTGTGTGTGTGTGTGTGTGTGTGTGTGTGTGTGTTTTTCCATCTTGTTATTAAGTGGTATTTTTTGGCCCTTAGAGCAAACCCAACAGAAATACCGTAAAAACCTGACCCTGCAAAGTACCTCCCGCCAAGTGTGCTGCACTTTAGAAACAGTAGCCTTTCCTTCCTGAAACATACGGGGGAAATATTGCTTGAATATTAGCTGAATGAATGATAGTTACCATATAACATAATCTACACCAGTGTTTCCCAATCCGGTACTCAGGGACCCACAGACAGACCACATTTTTGTTCCCTCCCAGTTCCCTGCCAGACAGTTCACATTTTTGCTCCCTCCCAGCTCCCCTACTGGGAAGGAGCAAAAACATGAACTGTCTGCGGGTCCCGAGGACCAGATTGGGAAACACTGCTCTACACTGTAACTCTACACACATGTAACTTTCAGAAGGTAATGTGATAAGAGCACAAAAACAAAGCAGTATAAGGCCAACAATCACATTGTAATCCATATCAAGTCCTCTGTCACCATGGTGTGTGGTCTAAACCTGGGAACTCCAAGAACAAGCCGTACCCTTATCATGATGGTGTGGCTGTCGGCCACCTTCAGCGGCGGCAGGGGTAGGCTGCACTGGGGCATCCTCTTGAGCTCTTCAATTGGGGTACCGAGCCACTTGGCGTCCACAGGAGGGGAGGGGTCCTGCGAGCTACAGGCACAAGAGAGGGGCAGGAAACGCATTACCAAGGTGCCCAGGAAGAGCATGGAAAGGACACCAGCTGCTTTGGGAAACACCATACAAAAACCATACTAACCTGATGTCTACAGATGTCGTCACCCATCTTTGGGCTTTAGCTCAAGTAAATTACAATGATAATAAACAAATAATGCATAGATCATGTTTTGTTTTAAACCAAAATTAAGGTGCGTTTTTTTGCAGGGTTAACCACGACACAACCAGCTGCCTTTGATTAGAGTGAAGACAAAGAAATTGAATTGAAAAGCTAATTTCCAATACTCAGTCCTTTTTTTTGTTAGTCAGGCTTCATAAATTAGTTGTGGGAACAAAATCTCACGTAATCCAACAAAGACCTCTCATTAAATTTCCAAAATTCACTAAGGTTTTCTTGCAAATGTATCCCGTTGACAGAGTGAGGTTTGGAAATTTGCTGTTCAGTTATGACTGTAATACAGATATTGCAATTTTAACGGAAATAACGATGAGACTCTGGATTCCGCACCTCGTACATGCAGACTGTGGGGGCACTCTTGAGAAGAATTCTGTGATTTTCGTGTCGCGCCGGGCACCTCCTTTTCCTGCTGTCTCACGCTTCTCGTTCTCATCTCCCATGGAGCCCTTGACGGTGTCCCTGGTATCAGGGCTCCGGCCCTCAGGGCCCGACCCGGCATCTGTGGCCCGTTGTGAGAGCTCTGCTGGGGGGCTGCAGATGGGGCTCTCTGGGCTCAACATGGACACATCCTGCTGCATTCCCGCACCCTCGCCCGGGCTCATACCGCGTGTCACCGGAGACGCCTCCACAGGAGAGCCAATCGCGCTGTTCGGAAAGCCGTCATTGGGCCTGGGATCACCTGGCTTAGGACTACCTTCACAGCTGGGCGCCCTCGCCGATATCGCCTGGACGGCAGGAAGCACACCGGTCGATCCCTCGGAACTCGGCGTCTCACAGTTTGCGTATTCCAAAACAGCGGGACTTCCAAAAGGATCGTGATTCACTCCACCTTTGCCAGTCGGGTCCACATTTATTGTGCTGTCAAACAGTCATTTAATTATGTTAAGTGCTGTACAACTGCCATTGGTCACGCATCAAACTACAGCTAATCTACAAAACACTGATGGATTTGGCAAGTTAAACATTTAAATGAAGAACCAAGCTTTACAGATGTTAATTATTATATAGTATCCCTGCTGAAAGCTTCCCAGATGGATATGCCACAGAAATTAAACAGTAACCTTAATAAATCTAATAAACACATTTTGTAGGTGGCTCCTGTAATTTCACCCCCACCCCCAAAAAAAAATTAAAAAAACTGAAAAATTACTTTTCCGTTTCCATTGGCATTTCTTCCATTCTCACAGTGCAGGCATGGGCCGCCTTTTCGATATCTGGTTAAAAAAAAAACAAAAAAAACAACCCCAATATCACCAATGACACAATGAAATTTTAATCCAACTCCAGAAGATTGGCTAGCAAGCCCGGAATTTAACACTACTTACTGAGAGCTAAACATATAACAGGTGAAGGTGTACTTTACGTTTCAATGTATTTTAAAATAATGTAAGTGTGCTGCTGTTGAATTGGACACTATATGATAAAGATTACATGAAATCCCACCTTTGATTTGACCGCACAAACTCGATTCTTTCAGCTGCGCTTCTTTCTGTACTTTTGCCGAAAAGAGGAACAGTTGTTCTGACTTCTTAATTTGCTTCTCTTCTCGCCTGACAGGTGAAGGGGGGCCCTCCGACCTCAGTTTCTTTTCTACAGGCTCGCAGTTACACAGTGCAGTCATGCTTCGAAGAATGAAAACAAACGTCAGTTACCCAAAACAATTAAAGCAAAGTCCAGTGCAGTGCCGGTATTTACAGTTCATTGACACCTAATTTGTAATTAAGAAGCATTAGCTTATTTACAGACAGTTTAATTAGAGGACAAAAGGCATGTCGGGCGAAATGTCAAACAAGCAGCTAGCTTATACTTACAACAAAAACTTAGTTAAAAGGGCGACGTTTTGTTGACGGTATTTCCCTTGGGATTTCAGGTAATAAAAGAAAGCAACTTTTTTTAGTGCGCAGCGTATTACACTTAATGTAGTCATGTGTTACCTATCCAAGATCTACGATTCGGACAACCCAGGACGATGAACAAATAATGGTAGCTTTCGATATAGCTTATTGGCTAGTTAGCAACGTAGCCAGTGTTGGAAAAGCAAACCGTGGTGAAAGAATATTGTTCGCTAGGCAAAGTTCAAAACATTGACAGGTATTGGAAAATGCGGCTTCAACCCAGTCTTATATTCTAAATTGTTCCAATGGAAGTTCAAGTTCAGAAACTAAAACATTTTCAGCAAATTATGCAGTAAAAAAACACCCATTCCAAAGCTCTTTGTCACCGTACAATTTACTTTCCCTATAATTCCCGGACTTGTACAAACTCATTGACGGCAATCAGAATCAGCCCAATTGCACTGCTAGGTTTCAAAGGGAGGCGGGCTCAAGGGCCATGTCACTTAGCAACAGAGCCGAAAAGAAATTTATTGTCGTGCAAACATTTTTACCGTACGTGTACTGTATTCCACATCTTACGTAATACCTAGAAGTTAGTTCTAAGGTTTGGTGGTTGCCAAAGTAGTTTTAAAAATACGGATAATATAGTTTGTGAATATAAATTTTAAACTGTTTTTTTGTGGTTTAGCCTTTTCAGCTTGATGCGAATCGGGTATTTCTCATTTATAGAGTTACGCTTGTCCAACATGCTATTTGTGATGCGGTATTATTTTCAGTGTAGTGTCAGTATGAGTTGGATGCGAGATGATCAGTTCAAGAAATGCGCAGACAGTGACATTTTTTTTTACTATTAATACTGTTCTGGCCGTGAAAAGTGAATATTTTAGTGTCTACACATTTAGTATAAAATTGTGAAGATAAATATAGAGTATGATCATATATAACAATAATATATTGCTATGGAATAAAATGGCATGTGATGGTCAGCACGTAAAATTTCTGCAAGACAAACGATTAGTGGGTGTTTAATTTTGCTCACAAACCACCGTTAGCTCCCTGTGAGGTGTTTTTAATGTTGGTTTTTCTAGCGTTGGTTTTACTTTTTAATGTATATGATAATGATAATAAATGGCACGTGGTGTTTCACCTATAGCCTATAGACCGCGTAAATAAGCCTAATGTAGTCTGCGGTGGCCTGTACTACGAAGCGGGGCTACTGGCTTATCGGGGTAACTTAATTGTCAGATGCAATTTCCAGTTAAACGGTCACATTTCTTTTGAGAAAGGAACAATTTATCCTGTAGTTCCACAGTCTAGTGTCATAAAAATGACAGGTTGCTGTGCCGTGCAACATCGCCACCCCCATTAGTAGAATCTGTATACTTTCTTGCACTTAGCTATACAGACTGCTGGTCGTATATATTGGTAGGGATACATGGTTTGGACAATGTACATTACCGGAGATGTTGTTTGTTATAAAATTCATGCTGTAGCTATTGGTTTTGTAGAGTGAATAAGAAAACCTTTTCCAGAAGGGTATATTTTTTAAATCGATCATAACAATGTGATATATTTATATGAATACTCATTTTATTATACCATTTAAGACTCGAATCGTGTAGTATTGTTTTTCCCCCCAATGTAACATTAATCTAAATTATCATCCGGATGTTTAGCTTATTTCTCTCCTCTAATATAAAGGGGGTCCTCGGGAAAATTCTGGTTACGTCACTGTCGTAGGAACGGAACTGTGTCGTAACACGAGGATCCCCTGTATACATCAACAAAACTAACTGCAAAACTCCGTACTGGGAGGGAGCAAAAACATGGACTGTCTGTGGGTCCCCAAGGACTGGATTTGGAAAAACTGCTCTGCACTGTAACTAAATTTCACAAAGTACTGAGATACTGAGAACTGGCTGAAAGATATACTGTTCACCAGAACACATTATATAAATTGCATTATCAGCTCTTTCAGCTTTCCAACATAAAGGAAGTTCAGCACTGTATTTGGAAACTGCTGAGATCAACACCTAACGATAATTAAAGTTTTACAGACAATGCAGATTTTGTTATACACATTTTACTGCACCTTGTACTGAATATAACTGTGATAAAACTGAATAAACCCGAATAAGTTCAATATTTTCATCAGTGAGATGGCGGTTTCAGCCAGTAGTTATGTTGATGACAGTTAATGATTTGCAGGGTACAATTGGAGGAAAGACTTATCTACAAAAGCATTTGTATGTTTCTCTGTGCAGCATATCTCGGGAAGTAAAAGTTGACACTTATTGTTCAGGCTTTCCTGTGTGAATAACATTTGTAAGGAAAAAAGAAAAAAAAAATTGTTTAGCTACCCAGTTTCTACCACTATTTAATAATGCCTCAGAGGGACAGCAGCTCAGTCTCAGTCATGTGCCCCAATGGGGCGACAGCAGCTCAGTCTCAGTCATGTGCCCCAATGGGGCGACAGCAGCTCAGTCTCAGTCATGTGCCCCAATGGGGCGACAGCAGCTCAGTCTCAGTCATGTGCCCC